CTTTACTGAAAGGTGGGAGGTATTGTTCTCAATGAACACAAAACTCTGAAGCCAATATCTAACTGTGTATTTTGAAAATTGCACTATATTACTTTAGGACAGTAGAAAAAAAACCTTTAAGCAGCAACTTCCTCAAACTTTTAGGCTGATACAAGAGTGTTTAATAGGTGTTGTACAATGAGATGTTACATTGGGTTTTGCATTTAGATTAATTTCTCAGACATTAAAAGGAAGAATGTGTGGTAAAGTCTATAGCATAAATGGCTAAACTGTACACACCTGGGAAGTTGTGGATTTAGAATTGAAAAATAATGTCAGATGAGCTCAGTAAGAAAAGCGCTTTCGCTAGCAGGTTCGGCACAAATGACACACTGGGTACTTTCTTTTTCTGCCACATTGTGAGTGGAACATGACACACAACCCTCAATTATCTTGACAATGTTTCCAAAAAACCTGCGTCATTCAAACTCTTCAATGTGCAAGCCAAAAAGCTTTTTTTGGTTTTTTTTTTGCATGTCCCTCCTCACCCTTATCTGAACTATGGTAAGAAGAAAAGTTTACACTCACACCTATCACCATCATATATAGTACAATAGTGTATGATAAAACTATGGTTTAAACTTAGCATATTCAGTACACTCACACACACAAAATGTTTAATTCTCATAGTGAAGAGTAAAACAAGCCTTAAAGGCAAAAATCTGGGACAAAGTATTCACTCTTATTAAAAAAAGGATCCCAGTGATTTATTAATGATAGATTTGATAAAACTGTTACAAACGTACTTGTGCAACCTCAAATACCTCATCTACTAAAGTCTTTAAATGAAAACAATGAAACAATCTACTTAACAGGCTATTACTCGCCCAAAACATGAATCAACTGTCCCTTAGTCAAGGTAATTTTAGCCTTTAGAAACTCCAATGACCCTGCTGAAACATGACCCAAGCAAATTAAAATGAGGGCGTCATGCTACTTTTACAGCACCAACATGCAGTCAGTCCTATTTCTTACATGTGACAACAGAAGTCAAAAATGAACCCAACCTTATTGAGGAGTCATAGGAATTTCTGCTTTATCTAATAGTTTCCCATATATCAGTCGTATCAGTCACAATCGTATTACTCCGAGAGCAGTCTGGGCTCAATTTGACACTGGAATATCTGCCCGACTACAAATAGAAACGCGCTAACCTATAGCTTACTACTCTGGACCTCTAAATAAACCCTCATAATACACCCCTCCCCACAGGCACTTTGATACATGCTGTGGCCAAATGTGAATGAAGACGCCATTTGATGAAGAATTTAATAGTTTGATTCAAAAAATTGGTGTCTTTGTAACGCTGGCTCTACTTAAGAAGCTTAATTTAGCTCAATATTAGTTTCTTTCTGTGTATTACAAAAAAATAATACATGATATACTTCTCATTTAACTCTTCTGGGTCCATCTCACTATATGGGATTTTCACTGTTTATGTTGCTGATCCATTTTTATTGCCTGCAAAGCACTAACCCTCCTCTGAAAAATGTTATGTCAATGAATTCCATTGCTGTTCATCATAAGCATTACTGCTGGGATAGACTACGACTGACGTTATCACTTCCAGGCCAATGTTATAGAGCGAAAATCTCAGATCTCGGATGTATGCCAGATCTGTGAGATGAAATGACCTTAATGAGCTTCACCTCCACCGTACTATATACCAACATGAGAGCTTAACTCACATCCTAGAGAACAAAAGCTGAAGAACAGATGCATGAGGTCAGGACACAGTGAGTAGCATATTTTTCTGCTGTGTGAGCAACAGTACAGAGGGATAAAAAAAGAGCTGCTGATGTCTGATTAGATTCGAGCTAATTAAACTGGCAGACTCTGGAAGAGCCTTCAAACAACTTACTTTCGACAAGCTTCTCTTTGTAAAGGAAATTAGATCTGATTATAAACTTAAAGGCCTTAGCTGAAGACACAATTAGCTCTAACTTTGGGTAGGGTTTAAAGAATAACAGCTCAAAAAAATCTGCAGTAAATCTGTACAATAAACAAACTAGTTGACGGCCATGATACCTTCGAGACTTCACCTATTAAATCCAACTCAACCGGCAAACGGAGATGATGGCGATAATGCAAGATAAAGGAGTACTGTAAAGCATTTCGGTTTATTCAGACAAGGACTACTCAGTTTTGTGAGGGCAGCCCTACAATCTTGCACAATTACTTGCTGTTGTTGAAGAGCCTGAAGCTAGGTAGTGCTCATTTTCCAAATATCCAGCCTGTAAAACCGCAGTGTACTACCACCGCAATGTACAATAGATGTGTCAAAGCCAAAGAAAACATGCACCCACTCCTCCGTCTGGAACGGACAAAACAAGTGACCATAACATCTCAACAGAACATGTGCATGTGCCCTTTGCTTGGCTACAGAGGAAATAGTTATACTAAAGCCACAGAGCAAAACCTAAACAGGAAGTGAAGAGGATTTCACAGTGAGCTGCGTCACAGGGAGTACAAGCACAAACCTTTATCTGCCATGACACACTGACCATGGTTGCATGGTCTGCATTAGATTGAATGTGAACTTTTATTATGAACAATAAAACTATTTCAATTAGTTTGTTAACTTTGGTTGTTTAAAAGAACGGTTCCATTAATCTTCCCACAATCAAAAAAATAATGACATTAGGAGAGACCTAATACCTTGCTCATGTCTCGTATGCCTGTCTGCTTAAGATTTCCTTATTTGTTCCTGTGCTAATCCTATATACCAAAACTACAACCACCAGTTACATGCTTCCACCCACCACTGTTTTAAAAGAAGAGGAGACCAAACAGGGAGTGTGCAACATGGTGAGCTATTGCTTTAACAGCTTACAATAACATGTGGTATCTTAAACTTCTCTTTTATTCCTCAATACCAGGGTAAATACTATTACATGTTGAAGTTATTAGGTTATGGATTTTTGCTCTTAGCCTAAGTTATCATTGAAACAGCTCTCCCCACATCGGCATCAGTCTGCCTGCAGAATGTATATTAAAGTTTCTGACATATTGCTGTCATGGTACACTCTATATTCAGGTTTGGCAACTGCATTATGCTTCAAGCTGCTCTTTGTACTGTTATACATGGGAGAAGTTTTAAATGCTATCTATCATCAAACAGTTTGCTTTTAGTGTCAAATGTTGGGGGGGGAGAAAACTCCACCCAAGAAGTTTACTGTAGTGCCGTTAAGTTGTTTACATGTGCTTTAATAATGTAAGTTGGAGTACTCTACAGATCCACTGTGCTTACTCAGACTGAGCTTATATCCACTAGTGTAATTATGAAAATGATTCTTACATTCTTTAACAGCGTAATACCTTAATCTGGTAAGTACTGTGGCTAGTGTCATTGTCTAATGGAGCAGGGAGATGTTAATCTTTGTCTTAATTAAAGATGAAAGCAATATCATCCAGGGTTGGGAACCGGGAATCTGGTTCCAAAATCGTTCGATCCATTGGGATTACCTCCCTTCAAACTTATTGATTCCCTTTATCAATGCCAGCATATTTTTCCGACAGTTTCTGATATTGCGAAAACGACTACGTCAAACTTGTGCGTCTACACTGCTGGAAACTTGCAACAAGGAGTCATGGCTTAGAGGAAGGAACAGTTCAAGTCTCATTTTACTTAGAAACTGAAACTACTATAACTCTACACTGAGTTTAGACTCTCTTACACGCAGAATAACCATCAGAAACCCAGCTCCCTAATGTCAGCACGGAGATAAAAACACTTCAACCCACTAACTAAAAGCCCAAAACATCCATCGCCTGACTACAGATGTGCCAGTTCACAGCTACCTGCCATAAATGAGTTCATGACCTTAGGCCTCCCCCACCACGATCTGTCACCCAAGAAAAACAATTTGATAGCTCTGTCCTGGTCTCCTATGTGCCAAGTGTATCCTGCTAGTTATAAACACACAAGTACCGCTGATATTCCTAACTGCTGAGAGTTACTCTGGACTTATGATGTATTTTCTGGCCCTTCCCCCAACCGTGGCACGTAAAATGGCTTCCTAGAAAAGCATATCAGCTGTCCCTTTGGTAGACACACTGACTATTCTGTTGCCTTTCCACGCAATAGTCATTCTGGGTCATTGGGGATTTTGACTGAAGACAACTTAAAAGTGGCACTGAGAGCAATCCGGTATCATAAAATGAGGATAACCGTAGGACGAAGAGAGGCTCACGTCCAAGCACAACAAACCCAAAAGTTTTTGCTCGTCACTGTGAGAAAACCGACGACTGTTATGGGCCTCGGATTAGTTACATTTTTCTGCTGTTTTCGGTACAGAAACTGCCTGCAAGTCAAATAATAGTTGCTCGTGTTTGAATCGTCCAGCTTCGCGAGTTCATCTAACACTTTAGTGCACTCAATTTTGATTGGACAGCAGTTATTTGCATGATAAACAAAAAACTGTGCGCAGCTTCTTGTCGTACCATCTAAAACAATAACGCCGCTTGTCGACAGCGTGATATTAGTAATGCTTAGGTGTGTTACAAGTGAAGTCAACGAGGGGCTAAACAGAGAAACACAAACATCAGACGTCATGACCTGTTAGCCAACATTACGTGAACGAAAACATGAACACCGCATCTACGGTGTCCGTCTCGCTTCTCGCAGTACGGGAAGCCAACCTCGCCACATAACAACACAATTTAGCTTTATTGGAATTATAACAATCAGCGGGTTTGCCGTCACCAGGGCTCAAAAGTAGCTTACGAGGTCTAACCCATTTAGCAGGAGAGCTAACACGCTACCTTACGAGCACTACCTGCATATTTGCTTTAGCATAACGTTAGCTAGCCGTTCAGAGGGCTAGGCTAGCGGCTAGCTAGCTATGAAACCATTGAAATGTTCTGCGGGAATTTAAATTAACATCCACTCCAAATATCAGATAGCCGCTAAGTACAGTTAATAATCAAACAACATATTTTGTGATATCTAGCATCCTTACCTCTTGTCTTCTTTTTAGGCCCAAACCATTCTAGCTATTGGAAAGCTCTTTTCTCTTTGTCTTTTCCACTTCCAGTTACACGCAAAATGGACTCAGCAAAACGCTTAACAGCTAAAATACTAAAACCAAATGGACGCTCTCCATCTTTTTCTTAAACCGCAACTGCGCATCGATCGGAAAACAAAACAAAATCATTTTGTCCCTCGTTCATTTTGGTTTTTTTTTTGTTGTTTTTTCTTCCCCCTGAACAGAAGTGACTGATAGGTAAGGCTGCTAGCTAAGTTAAGTAGCCAGCAGGTACCACAGACAGGACTGGATGCATGGATGGCAGCAAGCGGTGCTGCCTTCACTTCCCGTCGGAAATATCTCAAACCAACCACATAACCAAGTAAAAATTATGGGGAAGTTCATTTTCTGTGAGCGTGACAAGGAAATATATGCTTTTTTTTTTTTTTTTTTTGGTGAGCCATGGAGTCCATTTGAACATACCCCTGACTCTACTATTCAGGTGGTATGTACAACTTGAGAGGAGATTGTTATTTTGACTGCGGACAGTCACAGTGTCAGCTTACCGATCACCGACACGGAAGTGGAGTTGAATGTAGTGAACCATTTAAATGTTGACTGGACAGTTTCACAGTCACAGCGCGGCCATTTATTATTGATGGTGAGAATTCCCACATGCTCTGAATGCAACATTCCTGTGACGCACAGGTTGGTCAGACTTGACGTTCAGGACGGATATCACGGAGAGCGTTTCATTGTTCCCCAATGTTGATTAATATCTTATTTTAAATACACAAGTGGACTACTAAATTCAGTTGTCACACGTCTTTCGGTTGATAGATACAGACACATTTACTGTACATTTAGTTACACACCTATAATGTATTTTTCTCTGATCTATTAATGGATACATTTTTTTCTGCCATCAACTTCAGACATTTTGTGTGCTTCAGTGTTCAGCAATTCAAATGTATGAGTTCATCCAGAAGTTCTGAAAGTGGTTGTGTAAAAAGCTAGAGACCTGCTTGGTTATAGCTTTCATGCACACCTGGTAGGTTTTATAAAGGTTAAAACAAACTTTTTGAGATATTGACATCTGACTGATTGGATTGGTCTATTATTTGGAAATATATATAAAGTAAAAAATAACTGCCCTGACAAAAAGCAATAAACTATTCCCAAAAAAAAGATTAGTTTCATCAAGCACATTCAGAAATAAAGATTTGTGCAACTTTTAAGTTACTCAAGTGGCACACATTTCAGTAACTAAGCCTATTTATTACCATTTTATTCTCAAATTCATGAATGTAAAGTCATAAGGTTTCTTTTTAACAAAATAAAAAAAGCAAATATGCAAGAGCCTTAAAAATAAAAACAAGCCAAGTTTATTTTACAGGGAAACAAGCAACTGCAATGTCATAGCAACAAGACTGTCTAATTTCAAACTAAGTTAAAATTTGACAAACAAAACTTTTATTCAGTATCCTTTAAAAGGTCTCGTATCAGTGTCTTTTCAATATATGGTGTTGCTTTATTAAGGTTGTGAGCTGTACAGATTAACTTTGACTAAAAATATACTTTAGTACAAAAATCACAAACTGGACATAAATATGCACATTAGTTTCCTCAGATATTTAAAAATGTATATCCTCAGTAGGCCTACAAACTTGGGAAAATATCACATTAACAGAAGCAACAGGGGAAATATGTTTTGAAAAAAGAACCTGACACAATGGGCAACCCAAAATAATATTTTCTTTTTGATCTCCATTTTTGCTAAAACTATACGAGCAGTATGCGACTGTAGGATTTACAACCCTAAGGGTGTCCTATCCATTCAAACCCAACCAACCATGACGGAAAAAAAAGTGTGTACTGCTAAAATTACTCAGGGAAACAAACAACAAAACCCACTAATGCGAACATATTTATTCATTTCTTCTTTTTCTTCTTCTTTGGAGGTCCTTGATCTGAATCGCTGCTGCTCCCTGAGTCTGAGCTGTCTGAGGACGAAGAAGAGGAGGAAGAGGTGGAGGAGGAAGAGCTGTCATCGTCGCTGTCACTGCTGCTGTCGCTGTCATCTGAAGAGGAGCTGGAGGAGTCGCTGCTGTCTGATGATGAGTCACTGGAGGAGCCGTCTGAATCACTGCTGCTGTCGCTGGAGTCTTTAGCCCTGAGTGCAAGTGGCGGAGCACAAAAGGAAAAAACATGAGCGCAGAAAAACAGAACAGCGTGTATTGTTATTAAGGTCTCACGCTGTACCTGTTACAATCTGGTTTTTGTACTGTCACTTCGCAGAGGAGAAGAGATGAGAAGAAAGGGATGTGCTGTGATTTTGAAGTGGGTTTTTTTGTAACCTTCTTCACAGTGACATGCTGTGCTCGCCTACTTTTGAAAGTGAAATGACACAAAGTCTACGATGCCATGTTTTTGTTTGGTTGTTTTACTTAAACTGAGAAAAACAGTGGCAAACTGGGAACATTACCTGCACCATGTAGTATAAGAAAGCATTTGATATCTCTTGACAGATAAGCACCTGCCCCTCCGACAACCAGACAAACACGGCCTTATGGCAACTTTGCACGACACAAGAGTTATAATGACAACGCAAGTAAGTGGCTTCCATACTGGAGGTGAGAGGAGTAGAAGGCGGGGAGTGAAACGAAAGCTGAACAGACCATTTGTCACAGCAGACATTTTGACTTGGCAAACGCAGTGGTAGCTAATAACGTTATTAATTGTTGCATAGCACTGCAATAATGGCTGGAACTAAGCCATCGTTCAGCTTATTAGTCAAGTCAACGGCAAGTCAAACAATTTATGCTGTAAAAAAAACAAAAACAAAACTACAAATGTGATTCACAGAGCGCTCAGATACTAACCGGCTACACTGTCATGGGACACTTTAATGTTATTAGTAACACCCATGCTTTTTCCTGCTGGGACAAGGCAGACTGTCTGCAGTGAAAAAGGCCTATTACCAAACCGTTTTTGGATGTGACTGTGAACAATAAAGTACAATTTGAAAAGGCACGACACACAAAATGAAAAGCATATTGCAGCAGGTTTTTCAGCACATATGACCTTTAGAAACAAATACAAACAGTACATCAGTACAGCCACAAGATCATATGTAGAAGCAGACATTGAAAGAAGTGGATTAGAAACCATCACCACTGCAATATGATGAAATCGTAGAATCTTTTGACATATGACAGCATTTATTACTGCTGGTCTATAAGATAAAACACTTAAGCAGTTTTGAACTGTAGTGGCTCATAGTCGTCACTAGAGGGAGCTGTTACGTCACACTACGGCCAATGCTGCTCAAATAAGACTCTATAGTCAAGAGTGCAACAGTAATACTACAAAGGAAGTCATCTTCTATCCATGAACATCATGACATCCCTTTCATGGCCAATTTTCACATCTGTTAAAACTTAAATCCACGTGATGACGACTCTCACATGACTTTCATGTGACTCCCATGTGACCTTATTGCCCTGGGGTGACGATGTGTTAATGACCCAAACAAATTGAAATGCTAAGAGACACCACACCAGTCAGCAGAACTAAAGAAGCCTTTTTGATGAATATTGTAACATCTTCAAGACTAAAAACATTCGATCTATTTGCTTTCAAACTATATATATATATATATATATATATATATATATATATATTAGGGTGTGTGTGTGTGTGTGTGTGTGTGTGTGTGTGTGTGTGTGTGTGTGTAAAGTGCACTACATGATAATTTCTGAAATAGCTACCTGAACAAGGTATTGATGTAGAACACTATCAGTACTAGTACAACTTACTAGCTGATAAACATGTGTAACTGTGACTAAAATAAAGTCGGTTCAAAATTAAAACATTTTATACAAACTAAAATGTAATGTCACCAAGAATTGAACTTAATAAAACTATAATTTGGCCAAAGGGGGAAAAATAACTGCTGGTCTATTACTTATAGGGCTAGCATGTAGGATTTAGGAGATTTAGTGGCATCTAGGGGTGAAATTGCAGATCACAGGAGAAACTGGAAGGCAATCGCAGCATCTGTAGATAAAAACTGTTCATTCTCTAGGTAACAAAAACATAAAGATTCCTATATTGAGGTGATTATACACTAATGAAAACATACCTATGAATATTTCATTTTCTGTCAATAGAACCTCCTAAATTTTACACACTGGACCTTTAAGTATTTTTGTACATAAACTGCCTTTAGTAATTATTCCACATCAAAACACTGAGGAGGATAATACAGTTCAAAATATAGTTTAATATTCATTTTACTTACTTCTTTTTAATTTTCTTCTCACTGGAGCCTTCTCTTCCTGGTCTGTAGAGAGCAAAAAGCAACAGTCTTAGTGAAACTTATTTGACAATAAGCTGAGCCTCAGTTGGGCCGTTACTCACAAGTAATGAAGTATTATGTGATAGATGTGTTGTTGCCTAAAGATTGGTCATCTATCAGATCAAACCAGCCAAAAACATATTTTTTCCATGGACTGCATACCGCACTTGCTGCTTGTTTAAAACATATAAAAAAATAAAAATAACAATATGCTGTATTTATCAAGACGTCCTCTAGATGGCGATAAATGGGTCAGGTTATGTACAGTGACAGTAACACAGTATAGACTTCTTTACGTGTGTGTCCTTTTCGTAATGAGAGTACAAAAGTGGCTCAGTTTATTCTACACACTAAATTATCTAGTGTGTTTTTGCTGCCCCATGGCAAACAGTGTCTTACAACATCACATATAAGCTTAGTTTGTCACACTCGCTGTTCCTCTCAGTCCAATTTCCCTGACTAAGACAACTTCAGTCTGGTCTCCCACCTCATTCCAGACCATTAGGAAGAGCAGACTGTAAAGCCAAAAAGTGAGAACACAAGCTTCTCTCCCTATTTAGAGGTTTCAGAGTCCATGATTACTGAGCTGATTGAATGCCAGAAACTCTACCCATAAATCAAAACTCACTGTCTGTACACCCATTTGTTAGCCCGCTATTTCACCGGCACTTTTTGGTGTAGATGCAACCACAGCATTGGCAGTGAAAGACAAATATAAAACAATATAAATATTTGACTATTGGCCCCACAGTGTGCCCTTTTTCCTACCAAATACTTAAATAATGCTGCAAGAGATGTTTGGAGAGCTCTGATGAACACTTCATGCATCCAGAAGCTGTAAATATACTGTATTATATTAGTCGATTATAATCTTAAACATGTATTTCAATGGCATAAAATGTAATCAGCAAAGACGTGTCTCTCTGTCATTAGTGGTGAACTGATGGAGACACCTTACCCGGTGATGCTGAGGGGTTTGTTTTCATTCTCCTTGAGTTTCTTTTTCATCTCAACTGTTCTTGATGGTCTGTGCACATATTTCCGTTTCCCCGAGCACTCGTACGTCCAGTGTCCCATCTCCAAACACTTCTGGCAACGCACATGTTGTTTGTTCGCCTCCCTGTGTGTAATAAACAAGACAAATCTGAATGAGGATAAACAACAACAGTCACTACAACAGCGAATAAAAAAAGAAATCATTGTCACTGCTGCTAAATTATCTTGTTGTCAGTTGAATCTTAATTGTCAAGAACTACTTTTCTCTAAAGTAAAGCTTTGTTAGCTGGCAAAACTGTTTTAAGTTTGAACAAGTTAGCTAATATTATAAATCAAACATACAGTCAACCCTTTCACACCCCCTGCAGTATGTCCATGTTCCTCCAACGTCACTGCCCTATGAATGCAGTCTGTCTCATGATCTCCCCTCCCTAAGTTTAAGTTAAGATTGGTAACTACTCTGTTAAAGTCAATGGACTCGTGGTTATACTTTTGGAAACAACATGTTAAAGAGAAACAGACTTTGACTGGAGATGGGATGCAATCTAAGCACAACCTCCTGAAACCTGTCCTGTCTGTTTCCATGTGCTGTGAGAGATGAATTAAAAACTAAATGTGATATGTGCTTCTCTGTGACTGTGTTTTGATCTACATGTATTCAGGTCTCTCTTGTAAATGAGATGATTAAATAGTTAGAATAGCTCTGCAGTTCTAATATTTTCCACATTGATCATATTGAGCCACTGTGCCCTGTTAAAGAAACTAAACTAAAATATAATGGTATGTAGTAAAAAGGGTCGATTAAAGTGACAAATACATTTCTTTTTCAATATGAATATGAAGGAAAGGACTGTTCATTCTCTTCTGCTGGCAAAGCTCTCTATAGACACATAAATCCTTCACACTGCTGTATGCAGGAGTCTAAATGTATTTTTAAAAAGCCAAAATGAATAATAAAGCAGCCCAACATTATGTACCTGTCTGACTCTTTTTCTAGAGAGGGAATGTGAAGAACATCACACAGATGATACAGCAGATCTTAATGATACTGTAACAGCCAATATATTGATACGGAAGCAATATTATCGGGTTATTTTTCTCTATATGACAAATCAAATATTTCAGTCAGCACACGGTTATTGAGTTAGTTAGTTGATATATCTCACATTAAAACTTGGAATAAACTGAACTCTACTCGGTTATTCGCGTATTGAAACGTATCAGCTACGAGTTCAGAGACTAACTCGACGTTAAAGGAACAGAAACAAGTCGGAATAATAATAATAATTCAGTGTTTAGAGAAAGACCGCGGCGCATTGGTGCTGCCATTAAAGCCCTGCAGGGTTTCTAATTTACCTCCTATTTAAACCACCAAGGTCGACGAATTCAACGCTGTTTCTATTTAAAAGACAACTGTGTTCGCAAAACAATGAAAACGGCACACATTTATATAGTTATTTAAATTATACTCACGCTTGCCTCCTGGCTATTATTCTATGCATGGGAGTCGCCATGTTGCAATTTACTTTTTCTTCTTCGTTGGTAGGAGACCAGGACGTATTTCCGGCAACCTAATGCACCCAGTGCCCCCTTATTGGCAGCAACGGTACTGCATCATCTATGTATTATTATTATTATTATTATTATTATTATTATTATTATTATTATTATTATTATGAGTAACTCATCACTGTTAGTGCAATTACTAAACTGTATTATTCTAACCATTCATGGGCTGAAAAAGATGTTTAAGCAGAATTATTTATTATTCTGTATTTACTGTATTTTAACAGTTATTATTCTATTTATTAACACCCAATTTCCCTTCGGGGATTAATAAAGTCTATCTATCTATCTATCTATCTATCTATCTATCTATCTATCTATCTATCTATCTATCTATCTTATTGTATGACGGCAGGAGACCCATCAATCCATCTTTATCGAAACAAATGCAAGCTTGTGTGTTGATTCAATTTTATATAACTTTTTCAAATCAACATATATATGTATGTATATATATGTCAGAACTGGAGAGGATCTGCAAGGAAGAATGGCAGAGGATCCCCAAAGCCAGGTGTGAAAAACTTGTTGCATCATTCCCAAGAAGACACATGGCTGTAGTAGCTCAAAAGGGTGCTTCTACTCAATACTGAGCAAAGGGTCTGAATACTTATGACCATGTGATATTTCAGATTTTTCTTTTTTAATAAATTTGCAAAAATTTCTAAATTTCTGTTTTTTTTTCTGTCAAGATGGGGTGCTGAGTGTACATTAATGAGAAATAAAATTAACTTTTTTGATTTTAGCAAATGGCTGCAATGAAACAGAGTGAAAAATTTAAAGGGGTCTGAATACTTTCCGTACCCACTGTATATATGTATAAATACTGAAATGCATTATATCCAAATGTATTAATATGTTTATTTTGACAAACTCATTAACATTTAGAGCAGACACAGAGTATATGTGTAAATAAGAGTATATACCTTTTAATATGATGCAATCTAATACTAAAACTACAATGCTGTCACAATGGTAGTGTTAATAACAGAAGTGCACTGGGTTGCATGGCAGTGTACAGGAGTTTACATTTCACTGACAGTACATCAACCACCCACCGGTCTAATGAGATTTACCCATTTCCTCCACATATTGACCACATTCAGTTTAGAACAAGTTTCAGAGATTTTAGGGCAGCCTATTCATGAACCCACAATCCTCAACGTTAACTGGATATGTCAAGGAAGTTGACGCACTTTGTATTTTTTGTCCCGGTTAGATTTGATTAAGTTGTTGCCCTTACAAAAAATTAAAATCCGCCAATTAATTCAAGAACCTTTTTCAATTAAGCAGCTATTTGTAACAGTTGTAAATTCCCATATTCTTTCTATTACATATTTCCATTACATTACAAACAAATGGATATAGTTTATAAGAAAGAAAAAAAAGATGGCGTTTTCAAATAATCCCTGTAATTTACATAGTTTAAATAATTATTGTCTTTTTGTTTTGGACTTTATTTCCATAGCTACCTGATACTGTGCAAACAGTTGCTGGGTTGAGCATTTGGTTATCTGTGTCACCATCACAGTGCACCCTCCCACCATTCAACTGTCATCACACCCACCCATATTTACTTTTTGTCAGAGCTACGTACATGTCATTGTCTCTCATTTCTATTTAATGGGCTTTTAAACAGTATTTTCATTCCACCGACAATGCATAGTAAATCTTTATACTGTTATAGAAAACGCATACGAAGCAAGGATTTTAAAGTGTAACACTTCACATTTTGGTTAATTCAAAAAGGTAAAACACACCCAAGTTTGACATCAAATGCTGCCATTTTAACACCTTAATTTAGATTTTTTTTTTAAATAAAATAATTTAATGATATATTATGGAAACATTTTAGACTGATGTGATTAAGTTAATTCATTGATTTCTAATGCCATCTTTAGATATTTATATTCAATGCTTTACTATTGTGCAAATATTGATATATGTCTTTGTTTGGATCAAATCAGCATATATTTTTTGCCACCCCTTAAAGTCTCCATGCCACCCTCTGGCCACACCATGAATATTTCTCTAGATCTTGTTACTATGATCCTTTAACAAACTTTACAATATGTGATCTTAAATGTTTTGGTTGCATTCCCTGTTTAACTGCAATAAAAAAAAAAAACAGTGCCATTTTTGTGTCAGAGGATATTTATAATTAATGTATTTTATTAGATTTTTATAGCTAACTTTGTCTTTGCTTGTCTTTGTCCATGTGCAGTTATGTTTCGTGTATATTGTTATAGGCTATAAAATAATGAAATCACTTCAACTGCTACAAATAATACATAATCATTATGATTCTTAATCAAACCCCTAGAAATAAATATACTGAAAAATATAATTTGTAGCAGTGGTTTCCTCGATTAAGCGTTTAAACTGTGTGGTCGGCTTGTAAAATATGACTTCATACTTAATAACATCCTCAATCAGCACAGCCATTATTGTTTTCTCCACCTAGAGTTCACCCAAATAAATCAGTCGTTGGTTCCTTTATGTAATTCAGATTAAAAGTAATTATTCAACCCAGAAATTATCTCGCGATTGCCAGAAATGTCTGGCCGTTTTCCCCCCAAAAAACCTCAGTTATTGGAGAACAGCGATGCACATGGTTATAGAAAGGTCCAGAGATATCTAGAACTACTTAAATCTCGCGATGACTGCCGGCGGACGGCGAGAAGTCAGTAAGACCACCTTGCTGCTGCAGCCTGCCAGCACAGATCAGAGACACCGGTAACAGCGGTGTGTGGATTATGACTAGAAGTAGCCCTACTTAACACAGCGCAACGCTACCGCTTCACCAGACGTTTACATCTTTTTTTGTAAAGCCGTAGCTTTACGTTTGTTTTTATCTGTCTGAAGTCCAGCTGTAGATAACGTTTAAAGAAAGAAGACAGTCGTATCGCTGAAGATGTCAGTGGTGGGATTTGACTTGGGCTTTCAAAGCTGCTATGTAGCTGTAGCCCGAGCCGGAGGAATCGAGACAGTCGCTAATGAATACAGCGACCGGTGCACACCGTAAGTACCTGAAATACATGTTTTATTCATTGGACTTCTGAGGGAATGGCGACAGCAGACAGGGACTTCATTTTCTCATGGTTGTTATGGTGGTTGGGGTGATGCACGTGAATGTAGCTTTGCTGCCTAGCTACCGTGAGCTAAAACTTGTATCCATATGCCGCGCGTTGGCTAATCGGTCTGCCTTTCGGTTTGAGTACATCAGTATGTCTTAACGTTTTCATGGCGAACCCCGAGCTATCTAGATTTTATTCTTAACTGGCGCTGCTCATTCACCAGCCATGGATGGAGCTAGGCTAGGTAGCTAAGCTGACAGTTTTTTTTTTCTTCTATTAACGGTACTGTACGCTTTGAAAACGGGTTTTATTCAACCGGTGAACACGAGCGGGCGGTGTTACCCCCCCCGTTCTAACGTTCACTACTGTTCATGTCTTGAAGGCGAACGCTCCGACCAACCGGTGTGCCCCGTGCAGCAAACTGCGCGCCTTACGTTATGTTTGCTACGATGACGACAGCAGCCAATCGCTTGCTGGAATATTCTAGCAAACCTTAGTGACTTAAAGGATTTAATGACTTCCCCTTAAGATATATGCTGTTAAAGTTTATATTAACGAACTAATAAAACGTGTGTATTTCCAAGAACATGTTGTCATTAAGGTCTGTTTTTATATTGTCCAATATCAGTGGTTGTACATCCTCGAATCATATTTAATGAAGAATATACTTAATTAATTTCAATGGCTATATTGACATGTCTGCGTGTGATGAAGAGGACTGCTTAACAAATTAATATTATGTTTATAAAATATTCCTTTTAAGAAATGTTGCGTTATCTCATTGGATACTTTTTTCCTGGATTTTTTTGTTTTGTTTGTCGCCTTGCAGGTTTTTGAGGAATAAGAAAATCTATTACATTGATTCATACTTTTATATTAAAATACATTTTCCAGTACTTATCGAATCCATTAAATATAGGTAAAACTGAATTGAAATTCAAATATGTAATATACAGTGAGGGGAAACTAATGTAAACAGACCTCTTTATGCTAAATTGTATCATGTTTGTCATCTGAGTTGTTTGTTGTTAAAATATTTTTAAATGCCTTTTATTTTACTGCATCTCAAATCTAAGTACGAGTACTAATAAAGTAATCTAACCTGATGACCATGATTGACTTGATAACAAATAATAGAAAATATTACACATGTAATAAAAATATTACACACAACATGTTAATTAATTAATTAATTAAACTATTTAACTTCATCTTCTTGTTTATATGTGAAATTAACTGGAAACATTACCTGAGGTTTTTGCAGAGTTTAAGAACCATCCTGTTAGTTGTAGTATAATTTGTTGATTTATTGGATTAGTCAATGGACAGAAAGATACAAGACTCAAACTTTTTAAAATTAAACTAAAGAATTAAATAATCTTTTGAATACTTCTTATGTGTAAAAAGAACAAACACTTGCTGATTACAGAATCAAAATCTCTCAGCTTCTCTCTAGTTGTTATCTGAGTACTTAAGGTTTGTTGGTCAAATAAAAAAATACAATTTCAGGACATCGGAGACCACAATCTAACAACTTGCTACTCTGTTCGTGGGTCAACATGCCTGTTGAGTCGGTTTCCTCAGAGACTTGTTGCGTTGACCCCTCTTTGGCATCACCAACTGGACTTATGTGTTGACAGCGACAGTAGCTACGACATCTGTGTTTGATAGGGATGACGATGACGGGCATGTTTAGACCACAACCCTCTGGGATACAAGTGGACTCACCACACCACTTCAGACTGTGTTTATAGTACTGTGTGAATAGTGAGAGATGGGTCTTAACAAGCCCGCATGCTGCCACGATCCTTGTAAAAAGAATTATGAGCCCTTTGTACCAGCATTTTTATTACTCATTTGGAAGATTTACCTTTACCATTAGCTACTGCTTGTAAGCAAATATCTACATAAAGTTTGAACCCCGATCATATTCCACATGCAAACAAATTAAAAACTGCTTGTGTGGCTGCTGCAGACATGGGAAACAGTCTGTCCAGTGTTATGTGGGGTTGGGCTCTGAAATGTCATGTCATGTGTAGGCATGAGACCATGTAATAACTTAACTGACAAGTAAATCTGTCTTTCATGCTCATAATGGCGTATCAGATTGTACCTTTAATACTTTCTTTTGTTTCCTTCCAGATCATTTGTATCATTTGGACCGCGAAATCGATCTATAGGAGCAGCTGCAAAGAGCCAGGTAAAATGAATTCAGTCACCATGTTAACATCCTTGTAATTAGATGCAAAACAAAGAAAATGCATCACTGTTAATGCTCATTATTGTAACCTAATTTTCTTTTGTTTTCTCCTCTTTTGCCTCTTTCCTCGCGTCCAGGTGGTGACCAACTGTCAGAATACAGTACAGGGCTTCAAGCGATTCCATGGCCGGGCTTTTACAGACCCCTACATCCAGTCAGTCAAGTCTAACTTGGTGTATGATCTGGCACAGATGCCCTCCGGATCCACTGGTATTAAAGTAAGATCAAGGATGGTGCCTCTGCTGTATTAGAGATTACGCAGGTAGCCTCAAAGGTCCACTGTATATTCATATGTTTTTATTACTGTATAATCACCTGAAAATAAGAATGGTGTAGTTCTTGTGACCTTTAGAAAGGCAGCAGGTCCTCTTCCAAGGAGGCCACCATGTAGAACCACCGTGTTTCTATAGTAGATAAGGCCCTTTTGCATTTTTTTGCAGCCACTGTAGTTACTCCTACCTGGTTGGAAGCTGAGCTGCATTCAAATGGTTGCAATCTGCAACTTCTCCGCTAGATGCCACTACATCCTACGCACTCATTTAAAAAAAAAAAATGTCCCAGTAAGGCTTGAGTTAGCACACTCAACAACTGAGCTGCATTCGTCAGCAGTATTGTACGCTGAACTAGGGCACTGAAGAATAAAAAGGGAGAGCCATAAGAAATTTAACAGAGAAAGCACACTCTCTTACCTACTGTGCTCCAAGAAGTGCCTCATGTAATGCTTTTTTCTCTTTCTCTATCAGCTCTTCTAGGTTATCTTAAGCTGCTATATTTATATAACACAATTCTGTGGTAGGAAATTATTGTTTCTCAGGGTCTTTGAAACAATCAGCTGAATGCATAACTATGAAAACTAGTGAACGTAAGAGTTAAAAATTACCCAGAATTTTTGCAAGTACACAAATGACAGTGCCTGTCTTGCACAAACACACAACCTGGCATGGTTTTGTGTCCCCGTGGAGATAATTAATGTGAGTCCTCAGGACAAATGAGAGCAGAATAAACTCAAGAAGAACACATTTTAGAAGACTGCATCAACCTGTTTTAGCTTGCAAAGTCATTCATTTCTAAGAGTTTTCAGATTGCATATTTACATATTTTATTACATCATTTGCTTATACATTATTATTAGGGTTATTGGCTTTTGCGTGGGCCTGTTTTTTATAAGCTTCCAGTCTGTTAAAAAGCCTTCAATGAAACTGTGGTGGCCTTTTTAAAAATTATTATTAATGGAAAAACATCTCTTATTCATGGCTGTTTAAAGCGATTCATAAGCTATTTAAACGACTTGAACTGAAGAGTGAACATCTTCCCAATTCTCGTCAACTCTAGGTGATGTATATGGAGGAGGAGAAAGTGTTCAGCATTGAGCAGGTCACTGGCATGCTGCTGACCAAACTGAAGGAGACTGCTGAAAGTGCACTGAAGAAACCAGTTGCAGACTGTGTCATCTCGGTAAGCATCTCTGCAGAGATTTTCACGGCTTCAGCAGGGTGTCTGAAAATCTATAAAACTTCTTCAATAGATTTGTCAGTGCAGTGCATTTTGTTTTCTGCTTATCAGGCGTATTTGTGTCGACATAGATCTTATAAAATTGTCTGTTAAAGGTGTAAAGAGGTGTTCATTTACTTGTTGGATCCACGCATGCAGCTTATTTAAAGATGTGGCACTGCACTGACAAGGCTTCAAGAGACGTGTGACTCAGTTTACTCCCTGTACTTAATGCCATTCTCTGTACTTAAAATGAATAATACATTGCATTTACATCCTGCTATTTTGAGTGGCAGCTATTAAAGTCATCCTCTTGCATTTTCAAGTAGTTTGAGTTATAAAAATGTCTCTTGAAAGCTGCCTCCAGAGGTGTATAAATGTATTACCACCTGTTCATGTGACATTTTGTGCTCTAAGCACTTCACCAGATGTCTTGTCTGAAAGCTTTATTTCCTCCCTTGCACCTTTTTGTTGAAGAGTGGGATGTGTGTGTGTTTCGTGCTGTGCTCAGTATATGAATTCACCAGCAGCATCTGTTATGTAATATTACAGATCTCACACAGAGAGGCTGTTACTTTCACTTGTCCAAAATCTGCACTTTGCCTCAGCCATAGAGATGGATATCTTGTTATTATTACTGTGGCCAGTAGCTAAATTTAGCCTGTGAGCTTTTCCACAAGGAGATGTTTTGTTTTGGCTCCCTGAGTAACTAACATGGTAACGTTATCCAGACATCTTGTGATGCAGGCGATTCATTTTGGACATCTTTAGCATCCTATCATTACAACAATATTACCTTGCAGTACCATGCGTATCTTTTTTTTAAAATATTGGTGGATCCAGTTAAATCCCTCAATCTGAGACTGTCTACACTTCACGCACTGAGACTCGTTATTAACACTTCATTGTTGTTCCTTTCCCAGGTCCCAAGCTATTTCACTGATGGAGAGAGAAGATCTGTTATGGATGCAGCTCAGATCGCAGGCCTGAACTGTCTACGACTAATGAATGAGACCACTGCAGGTACATTGAAACACAGTAAACTCTGTTAAGATAGGCAGCTTCTGGATCATTGTAACTAGTTATTCATAATAGGACATTTAGACAGTTACAACATTGACTTCAAATGACATCTAGATACTAATTTGTGTGAGATATGTTGTTTTTTTTTTTATCTCCTGGAGCAGTCGCCTCTGTCTAGAAAGCTATGAGAAAGTGTTCAGTTCTCAACTTGTAGCTATGTATATGGAAAAATGTAGTATACTGACTAGTACACTGATGCAGTGATGGGCACAAGCTAACGCCAGATTATGCCTGTTGGTTGCAGTGACTCTGGCATATGGTATCTACAAGCAGGACCTGCCAGCTCCAGAAGAGAAGCCCAGAATAGTGGTGTTTGTGGACCTGGGCCACTCGGGTTACCAGGTGTCGGTTTGTGCCTTCAACAAGGGAAAGCTCAAGGTAAGCAATGAATAATTTGTGCCTGTTTTGAAAAGCAATACTGAAGGTGGGGGACGTTTTAGTGCAGGTTATGATGACACAGCAGTATGTGCTTGTTAGTTGTACCAAAAAGTTGATATTTTTTTATTCTCATGGGCAGAATGGTAAGCAGTGCAGTCAAGGATGAAACCTGTGTGTTCAACATAGTGTTCAAAACATTCAGTCAGCAGAAAAGAACACCAGATGTTGTGCACGTAATTGCTTATTAGGAATGCATTTTCCCCTTTTTTATATATCTATATATACATATCTATATAGATAGATAGATAGATAGAGATATATATATATATATATATATATATATATAGAGAGAGAGAGAGAGAGAGAGAGAGAGAGAGAGAGAATGTATGTATTGAATAGATAGGTAAAAACATGAGTACAAGTCTACTTTTTTAATTTGTTATCCTCACATGTACCCAACCTAGACAAACAGATATGCAGTGATATGACAGTTATCCAGTAGTCTGAGAGTTTGGGGTCACTTCAAATATTTACCTCCCTTGTCAGATCCTGGCTACAGCGTTCGATTCGGAGCTTGGCGGGAAGGGCTTTGATGACATCCTGGTCAATCACTTCTGTGAGGAGTTTGGGAAAAAGTACAAGCTGGACGTCAGGTCCAAGCCCCGGGCCCTGGTCCGACTCTACCAGGAGTGTGAGAAGCTCAAGAAGCTGATGAGTGCCAACTCCTCCGACCTGCCTCTCAACATTGAGTGCTTCATGAATGACATTGACGTTTCTGGTAAACTTAACAGGTGAGATGCAAGGTTTAATAAGTTAAAAATCATTAATGTGGGCTTAATCTATGGGTTGTTTGTGCTATTGTTGCTTTAGATGACCCAGTGAATATAGAGCTACCTTTCTGCTCTATGTATTGTTTATGTGGAGCCTTTACAGTTTTCTTGTGCTAAGGACTAGTGTCAAAATGTTAAAAAGGACTCTTCTAGCTAAGCAGAAATTAAAATTGTGTTGATATAATTAGAAATGACTTTTAGTGGTACCCAGCATCCATCTGCATGTCTCACACCGTTCTGAGTGTATGAGTCTATTAATAATCTATGACCATGTGTCCCCAGAGGTCAGTTTGAGGAGATGTGTGCGGGGCTGCTGGCCAAAGTAGAGGGTCCCCTGCGCAGCGTCATGGAACAAACCAGTGAGTACATCTGACATTAATAGCAGCCGGACTATCCCCACCAGCACGTGCACGCTCACATAGTCAAGGTTCAGTCATGTGCTTTCGCTGAGACAACCCTTCCCTCCGGACACTGGCAGCAGGCCTGCCATCCTGTCTCCCTTTAATCATTCCTGGTTTCTTCTTTATCTCTGCGTGCTCCTACTTGTCCATACTAAGAAATCTCATGGCGAATAATTAACAGAAAATATATTTGGGTATACCAAAGTTGTAGTGTTATGTGTTGTTCGGATAAAATGTTTAAGAAAAAGCATCCTTGATGTCATTGTAAAGCAACTGCACATGTGGCTTTAGCTTAAGACTACAGTGCTGTTCACACTGCTTTTTTAGTATCAACAATGTTTCTTTTATTAGAGTATTGGAAAGTGAAGCTGTGACTCTATAAACTTTAACAAGCCTGTGTTGTATCATCCTTGTCTCCTGCTTCCCATATCCAGAGCTGAAGAAGGAAGATATCTATGCAGTGGAGATTGTGGGTGGTGCCTCCAGAATCCCCTCCCTCAAAGAGCGAATCAGCAAATTCTTCGGCAAAGAGCTGAGCACCACCCTGAATGCAGATGAGGCCGTGGCCAGAGGCTGTGCTCTGCAGGTACAGGTCACCTGTCCGACACTTTGGACCAGCGGGAGGAATATGACACACATGCACACATATGTTGTGTTGTTAATGCAGGAATTTGGTTTGGTTGCTAGGTTGCAACTTCAAGACAAAGCTTAGTAACTTGTGTTTTATATTTTTGTCCTCTTCTCCTAGTGTGCCATCTTGTCACCAGCATTCAAAGTCAGAGAGTTTTCCATTACCGATGTTGTCCCCTACTCCATCTCCCTAAAATGGAATTCAGCTGCAGAGGAGGGAGTGAGGTACAATCTCTCTCTCTTTGTCGCCTGAGAACTTTAAAAAAAGAGTTCAAGGCTTGACTCTCACTGGGATATTTCATAACACCAGTTAATTTGAACATCATGCTTTACAAGGTTCTGCAAAGTTAATACCCTACTTTGATGTCATTATGGAAATCAATGGACTTCATTGATGTCATGGGGTTCTGGCTGTCAGGAGTTATATAAGGCCTTGTAGTATTAAAATGTCTAGTTTCCATTACCACATTAGTTTAATGTTGCACTCTCTGTGTTATGATATATTATGTCTGTTATACCATAACTCTCACACACACACCACTCAGACAGAACAACAGCAGCTCAGTATTAAACCTTCCCAAAGCCTGCAGTTAAGACGAGGTTAGAAGTCTGCAGAATTTCAAAGACCACTCTTTTGTCCGCTAGTTGCATTTACATTTTACTAAATTATATCTAAATCCCGACTAGTTTTAAGATGTGTAAAATATGTGCAATTGATGACAATTTCCACATCACTATGAAACCCTTCTGTTGTGTTTTTACAGTGATTGTGAGGTTTTCCCAAAGAACCATGCAGCTCCCTTCTCCAAAGTTTTGACCTTCTTCCGGAAAGAGCCCTTCACCCTTGAAGCTTACTACAGCAACTCCAAGGAGCTGCCCTACCCCAACTGCTCTTTAGGTACTGCAAACTCACATTTAATGACTTGTGAGAGATAAGTGGACAATAATAAGTATGGGCATCAAGTATGGAATAAGAAATTTGTTTTGATTGGGGGGGTAAAAAAAGGTTATACTTTTATTTTTAACTTTGACATATGCTCCCGTTCCATGATGCCACAGCCTTTAATCGTGTATACATTGATCAACTGACTTTATCCAGGATTTAGTCACAAGATGTTTGATATCATGCTTAAGATGCAATATCTTGTGATTCAGCTTAGCCACCCGAACTTATTTACTACTTTAATTTTAATGTGTTGGATTTGCACACCCTTCCTTATGGATTTAAGAAGATCATTATTCTAACCTTTTACTCTTTCTTCCGGGCCCCACAGGCCAGTTCCTGATCAAGAATGTGGTTCCTCAGGCGTCCGGAGAGAGTGCAAAGGTCAAGGTGAAAGTTCGGGTCAATGTTCACGGCGTGTTCAGTGTATCAAACGCGTCGCTAGTAGAGGTCCTGAAAACGGCTGAGGAAGAGGAGCCAATGGAGACAGACCAGACAGCCAAGGAGGAGGAGGAGGTGTGTACTGTGTGTACTGTATTTGCACGGGGAAGAAAGAGAGTAATGGCATTGGGACAGACAGAGAGACAAAGAAACACAGAGGTACTCCTGGTTTGTTGTATGTTTGCTTTGTGTTTCACCTGAAAAATCACACGGTCGGTTTGACCACACCTTGGATTTTAGTACTTTGTTTTGGCAACACTCTGGAATTCAGATGTCATGCCTTAACAAGCTTAATACAGCTTCAGTGTGTTGCATTTATTTCTCTCTAATACCTCTTTGTAATTAGTTTGGGTTTGTTAGTCACAATCTGGACTTCAGCGCCAACAGTTGGACTGCATATGTATTCATTTTGGCCTTTTTCCCAAAGTAATGTGTCATAATTGTGGAGATGGTGCAGACAATATCATCAACACCTAGGCAATCAGTCCTATCAAACACAAAACCTCTGAAACAAATCAGGCAATATTAGTGTTTCAACCAAATTCCTGTTTTGGCTCTCTGTGTTTTGCTCATGTTGATATTGTCTGGACCTAGAGTTTGTATAAAATCAGCCACAAAATCTCATAAGTTAATATCCTATGTACCATGTCTTTTCTTTTGTAACTTTGTCTCAGAACAAAATGCAGATGGGCCAGGAGGATCAGAAACTCCAGGCTGGAGACAACGGAGACAAGAAATCAGAGGCTGAAGAGATGGAGGTAACCTTGTGCTGGGCGATAAGGCATTTACCATATCATTGGGTGTTCCATCCAAAAACAGCCGTTATAAAATAAAGCAAATACACATCCCCACATTGCCTAAATGTGCCAGAACCAGATTTGAGACAATAAATCATTCCAAAAAAAAAAAGAGTTCATCCATTGAAAGGAAAAATATAGGGGTTCTGACCTAGAATTCAGAAAGCTTATTTCCAGCGGTCAAGACCAGGTGGGGGAATCATCAATCAATCAGTTCCAGTTTTACGGGTGTGCAACTCTCGTGCTCTCTTTTTGGGCTCAATCTGGAAAGCATGGTGAAAATCTAATTTGGGAAGAAATGGAACACAATTTGTTTGGTATCTGACATCCCTGACTGCCCCTTTTGTTTTCTCCAATGCCTCTGTCTTTACATTGTGTTAAGTACTATCCCATCATAACACAGTCTCTGAAAATGTGGTCTTAAATTAGAAAAAAACTATGGATGGCAAAATGGCTCCCTTTTTCCCCATCCATCATAGATGACCTTTTTTGAAAATGGCAAAGGCAGCATAAAGGCCTTTTTTATAGATAAAATATTTCCTACCTTTTGCGCAACTGAGAAATACATTTAATTTACCACAATCCCATTTTTTCTGATTCTTCCAGGTGTGTAGTTGTATTAAAGCTAACACCTTCCTTTCCCAATTTGGCTGATGAATCACCCATGGAATCTCTGCTTTCATTTGAGCCTTTTTAAAAAAAATAATTTCTTATCTAATTTATAAAACCCATCATTGGAGATTCTAAGGTGTGCGTGGGGGGGGGGATTTGGGTGGCTTTGACAGCAGAGTGATGGAGAAGCCTCTTCTGATAACTTCAAATGGAGAAAGTTAAATTTATTTATGATCTTATTGTATATTTCTGTCCTTAATCTTGAATTTGTGTAAGTGCCTGTTTGTTAATATGTCTGCATATTGTTCTGTTTTTTAAGTATTTTTGTGTCTGTGCTGTACCAAAAAACCCAATATTAATACGTAAAAGAAAGTAAATATATAAATCTAAGAATGGATTAGAATTAGTATAAATAGAATAGTATGCATTTAAACAGTACAAACAATTCTCAAAAGTCAATTGTTTAATCTAACACAAATGACATGGCAGTGTCCTCAAGGCCTCAGGCTTAGGGCTGAAAACATTACACATGGACGATAACATTGACACAAAGCTAGTTATTCTAATCACCAAATGTAGTTTTAGCAAACAGGTTTAACGTGATAATTAAGGCCAAGAATTGCTTGTTCTATTTTCAGTTTTTCAGCCATGATAAAAATTTCAGAGAAATAGCATATGTCAGGATAAATATTGCTCTGGTGTGAGATGGAAATTAACAGCTATATCGCCCAGCACTAAGGTACACCATTAAGTATACTAATATCATATTTTACAATCGATTAGCATGTGGCAAAGGATATTGTCGTGCATTTTTAGGCACACACAAAACAGAAAGAATTCTCTGTATTTAAACATATAAGGGATTTGGCATTTCAGTATAAATTCTTGGTGTAGTAACTCATTTATTTTTATTCAGGGGGCATGTTTTGTTGAATTCAAGGGTAATTTATAACAATAAACTCAATAAAAAAAACACAAGTATCTTTTAAAGGGAACAATAACGACATAAAATGGTAGGGCTCAGGAGGTAGAACAGGTTGTAAAGGCAGTATATAAATATAGCCATTTATTTATTAATTACACCTGAATCTAATAGGCACAGTAAAAGGTAGGTTATTTGGAGTCTGCATTGTATTCACACACATAAAAAGCATAATAAAATCTGAAGTGACCCCCGTGCAAATTTAAAGTGACAACACACGCAACAAAATTAGAAATTATTTGCTCAAACCAAAATGTGGAGTTTGACAGATCCCACTAACCAGTGAGTTACTGAAATAAGGCTTTTATGTTGTCATTCCAATTGGCTGCCATTTCATTTTTTGAACATATATCCTCGGATTCACTTATACGTATATATGAATACGTATAATATTTATTTTCTCCCACAAAAGCAGCAGTGTTTACACAGACTGAAAGAATTCTCATCTGTCCTTTTTTAAGACAACGACGGACGACGCCAAGCAGGAGAAGAAGAACGACCAGCCCCCTCAGGCGAAGAAGCCCAAAGTGAAAACGAAGACAGTGGAGCTGCCCATAGAGAACAACTTGCACTGGCAGCTGTCCACTGACGTTCTAAATATGTGTGTGGAGAATGAGGTAATGCTCTAAAAATCACCAGGAATGTCTAGCATGTGCTCACAGTATTTGTGCAAGCAGCGTCCTGGTCAGACTTACTGCTCCTGGTTTCGTTTACTTTTTTATTTAAAACAAAAAGGAATGGCTGTTTGCCACTTTATAATTTATGGTTGTAATGTAATAGTTGTGCTTTATGACATATAAAGATATAATACTCCAAAACTATTTTAAAATTACAAACTTGTTCATGAAGGTTTTTCTCCTGGGTTTTTATGCTCATTTGTTATTTTAAGATTTTAGTAGAGAGGCTTTCCCCACACTTACATTTAGATACAGCAACATGATTGTTACATTTCACCCAGGTTTGAATTGCTGTTGCTCTTGTGTTCTATATTAAAGGGTATCCGGAAGTGGACAATGTAAAATCAGATATGATGACATTCTCACTCTAAATATGATACTTTGGATGTGAGCATCTGCCAAATTATATTATTATTTTTAGTGTGTGCTGCTACACATCTGCTAACTAATCGGCTAACACCATCTTTGTGACTCTTCCAGGGTAAGATGATCATGCAGGATAAGCTGGAAAAGGAGAGGAACGACGCGAAGAACAACGTAGAAGAGTACGTGTACGAAATGAGGGATAAACTGCACGGCGTCCTGGAGAAGTTTGTGAATGAAGCTGTGAGTAAAGATTGAAAGTTAAACATTAAAACATTAAACAGTTTGAACCTTAAATTCCGACATACTGCATGTATTTCATGTTTCGTTCTCTTGATGTTTTAAAAAAAATGTGAATTTAATCTTACTGTGTGTTCAACATGCAGGACCGTGATACGTTCTCATTAAAACTGGAGGATACGGAGAACTGGCTGTATGAAGACGGAGAGGACCAACATAAACAAGTTTACGTTGACAAACTGGCTGAATTGAAGGTAACCAGCCATGTTGTGTGTAACTGGAAAGCTGTTTCTAAGGGAAATAGTAAAACTCCCATTCAAAAGAGAGCCCTACCTGTAATGTTTTGGGACTTGTATTAAGAGTAACAGATGATAGTGATACATGTAGGTTGAAGACACTTATTTTTAACAGTTAGATAAACGCTAATTTATAATGGTTTTTAACATGGAGTTAATGTTTGGTTGCAATATTTGTCTACCTGCTGTAGTCTGTGACTTTAATAGAAAGCTGATATTCATAGTTCAATATGTAAAACAAGAGAATGACTTTATCCTCTATAATATCCCTATTTTTCAGATGTTACAGATGTTTGATTTTTGTCATTAAGTGATGAATTGGCCTTGTTTCTTCAGTGTTTTTGTCTGGCAGGATGATTGGCTGACTATACCTGACGTTGTCCCTATTTTGCAGAAAATGGGCCAGCCGATTCATGAGAGATATATGGAAGCTGAGGAGAGGCCAAAAGCATTTGAGGAGCTTGGCAGACAGATCCAACTGTACATGAAGATCATTGAAGCTTACAAGGCAAAGGTAACCTGGCACAGAGAGCAAGTTTGTTGACTGACAAAAGTGTTTGCTTTGTTGGTGATATATTAAAGCAGCCACTCCCCTTTTAATTTATTATTCATCTTATAGGTCAAGTGTAAACATACAGCACATACAGAGGCACTGAGATTGTCAGAAAACATGTTTGAGGAACAGCTAACGTGGTTGTAGGTTATATTATGGATGAACAGTCACCAAACAGGTATCATAATTCACCTGCGGTTCTCCAAACAGGAGGAGCAGTACACTCACCTCGATGAGCTGGAGGTGACTCGGGTGGACAAGCAGGTGAACGATGCCATGGCCTGGATGAACAGCAAGATGAACCAGCAGAACAGTCAGGACCTCACTCTGGAACCAGTGGTCAAAGTTGGAGAGATTCAAGCCAAGACTAAGGTACTGAGAGTGCATTCAAGGCACACACACACGAAAATTAGAGGATGTGAAAATGTTATGGTAGCTTGCCACCAGGGGCTGTAGATCTGTAATTAGTCTGGTTTCCTGCAGGCAAATATCTAACAGTGACACATGACTTTTGCAGGAGGTCCATGATTTAAACATTGCTTTATGTTTTCATGTTTTTGTGTCTTGTGTGCACCTTTTTTTTTTTTTTTTTTTTTTATTCTGATGGGTTCTACAAAGTAGTAATTTGACACCACACAGCCAGCGGTTAAACAACTGCCAGCCCCACACAAACCATTGCAATCTCTAAGGCCAGTTGCAAGTTTGTAGTAGTGGCAATGAAGTGTGAAATAATAAAACAAATCTTCGTTGTACAAATTGGTTGTAGACATCAACCTAATTTAATTTAAAATTCAAGTAAGCAAAACATGATCTCTGGAGAAATAAATACTTTTTCTACGCTTCCTGTATAATGAATGCTTTCTTTCTTTTATCAGGAGCTTTATTCAACCTGCAACCCTGTGGTTTCCAAACCCAAGCCCAAGGTGGAGCCTCCTAAGGAGGAGAAGACAGAGAATGGGCCAGTCAATGGGCAGGAGGGAACAGAGAGCCAGCCATGCAACCCAGATAAAGCCACATCCGCGGGCACGGAAAAGGGAACGGCGGAGAACAAGCTCCCTGAAATGGACATTGACTAGCTGTTGCAGCTGCCACCCCTGAGTTTCACCTCCGTTTGTCCTGCTACTCGCCCCCCAATTCTGTCGTTCTTCTGAGATTGTTATTGATGGCACAGTAGCCTCTCTTAAAGACGCAGACAGCAGCATCCCTAATCTATTCATGGAGCCTCCTAGGCATGTCATTTCTCATTTTCTCTGATGAATACACAAATATTGCATAATATTAATATTGAATGGACTACTTTATGACATTAAAGTTGTGGGTGTGGGATGGAAACTGCTTTCTCTCTGTTGCTTTGATGGCTATTACGTTAAAGATTGTTCCGTTCAGTATCTCCTGAGCACATTTAGGCTATGAATGTCAGATTTGAAGAATTGTAAGTAAAGTGGCTGTGCAGAAGAAAACTAGTAATACTCCCAGGATTCATGAAAATGTATAATATTGCAGTACGTCTAAATAAGGTATAGATACAGTGGCACATGTAAACGAACATGGATTGTTCCAAGTTGTACATGACAAATAGTGCATTTTTTTTCCACTACAAATAATTGTAACTGCTGGATTATAATGTTTTAAGTTTAAAAAGGACCGAAAGCGTTTTTGTTGAGTTTACTTGTACTGTATGTTGAAAATAGATGCTACAAGTTACTGTCATGCAGGATTTCATTGTTTGGCTTTTTTCTCATTCAAAAGAAACGGCCCATCAGTTGTTCTCTGGTAGCCTTGTATTGTTTTTGGGGTTTTTTTCTACTTAACAGTGTGACTGCTGGTCCAACAAATCACCTTCTGGGTGCTGCTGTTGTCACCACGTCACAAAAAAAAGCAAAAATAAATCTTGACCAAAAAAAAAACGTGATGTGAGAAATAGCTTTTTGCCAAATAATATTGTTGTTGAACACAGTGGCTGTCTTCCCTATCTAAAGATGAATGGAAGCTCCAGTTTATTTTTGGTCGTGAAAACCCTACGAAATCCTGTAACCCTGTTAACTGTTGACATTTGCTTAAGTGCCTTTCATTAGTTGTCATAATAGGATCTCCTCCTCCTGACACCTGTTAGTGACATCGTAGATACGCTAGCTATAAAATAGTACTTGTTATGTGTGTCGGCTCCTTGCTTTACACTAGTTGGTAAAGTTGACCAGGAGGACATTTCATTGCAATTTTCACATGCGCTTAAGTCAATTAATCAATCACCGGACAGACAATTACAAAAATGTACTGGTTCCAATGTCTCAAATGGGACTATTTGATAGTTTTCATAGTCTTTTATGATGGTTAACATTATTGAATTTTGGACTGATTGTTAGTTGCTTCTCGAGAAGCAAAATGAGTGAAAACCTATTTGGAGCTGATGCATTCCAAGTATTCAAGAAGGATTATTCCTATTATTATAATTATTATTAGTATTATTATTTTTAACACAGCCAGGAAAACATTTTGGTCTACTCAACCCCAGTCTGCAGCCAGGTCCTTAACCAGCTAACCTGTGAACGGTTTCGTGAAATTTGTGAAACAATTTTTCCACTTCTCTTACAATGTAAACTCTTATGAATACGAACACACAAAATTATTAAACAAATCTTAACAGATGTGTTGCTATTGGTTTAGTTTGAAAGAGGTCGTGCTACAACTGTTGGGAAAGGGAGGGAACAGTAAAATCAAGTTTTGGCTGGACAGGAGATACAGCATCAAGAGATCTGGAGCTGTGTTGGCCAAAGAATGCAATTTTTTACTCTTTTCAAAAGTAATAATTTTTACTTTACTTATCTCCTTGCTTACAGTAATTAGTCCCCAAAATTCTGACTTTAAACGATTAAAATCCAGTTTTGTTTGTTAAAATCAAGGTAAAGGGAAATATTTACAGCTGCTGATCAACATCTTGCAAGCTAGTTTCCTGCACAATTACAAAAATAAATCCAGGATTAGGTGGTAGATTGTTGGATTTCAAATTAGTAGGGAGGTCCCAACAAAAGTAATGTTATAACTAATTTATTTTACATTTTTTTTAGACTTAACTGTAATATTATTGCCGAAATGTATTAGTAATTAGTTACACTACTAGTTACTGGGGAAAGTGTAATATTATTACTAGCAATGAGTTACTGCACTGATCCGGAGTGAGTTCTGCCCTACTGTGATGTGACCTACGACCTCTGTGTGGGTACTAGAGCCACTGGTGGTAGATGTAGCGTCACTTCTAATTAAGGTAAGAAAGGAAAGTTTGGATTCAATAAATGAGTTAGTATAGTTATACAGAATACGTACAGGTGATCAAAAGATCCAATAACGGACAACATTGATTCTGCAGTTGCAGTTTCTAGGCACAGAGTTGCAATACACAAACAGACATCAAACTTAAGTGTATAAATGAATGTGTTGTTAATACTTTGGATGGTTTTAGAAAAGGCTAAACAAACCAAACCTAACAGAGCTCCCATCACAGTGACCAGTAAAAGACCTTCTATTTGAAATAGTGGATATACACTCACAATCAATTAAAGGTCCCATATTTTATACTTTTTCTGGTGTTTTATTTGAAATGTTGATATCCAAAAGAAGATATATTTGTGGGTTTAAGTACCAAAAACCCATCTCAGTATAGTTCTCAGTATATTTATTTAGGGCGTTGTGTGTTGTGGTTTGTCTCAGTAATAATAAAAAGCCTGCTTTGTGATTGACCGACTGTTTTGTCTGAGTAACCACAGGTAAAGGAATGTGGCCCGTCCAGATGCTGGGAGCATGGCTGTTGGTGGCAGGGACTGTAGATGTCAGGGAGGTCCTGGCGGCTTGTTTAAGGGGAGAGTTTCTGAATATGGGTTGTGTGCATTTCACAGTATTTATATAGCTCCTAGACATGCTTTATAATAATAATAATAAAAAGACATGGAAATCTCACTTTCTATGATATGGTAAACAAAAAGGATGTTCCTGCACACATGGGCAGTGTGGGTGATGAGAGAGTGGACAAACTAACCAAAGAAGCTGTTAAAGAAGTAAACACAGCATGAAACTAAAGACAATTATAAGCAATACAAAATAGAGTGGGAATTGATAGAAACAGGGGAGTAAGATTGAAAAGAGGAGGTAGTAATGAGCTGACTAAGAATAGGACACAATAACCTGAATGAACTCCATATCTAACACAATATATAGAAATAGAAAATGTATATATAGGTATATACATATAAGTAAAAATAAAAAATAGAAATATAGTAAGGCCCTAAGTATATACCCTTATAATACAATATATACAAAAGTAAATGTATGCCACAGTATGTGACTGACAGAGACTAAATGAGTACTAGTAGTGAGCTTTAAAGAGTTATACATTATACATAGGAATATATATAACGTATTACATGTCTTTAAACATGAGAGAAGAATAACCTGTAGTACCCTAAACCGGCCTACGGGGGCGCTCTCACACCCACATTGCCCCCTAGTCCAGTCATGAAGCAGTCCGAGTGCAGGAGTCACTAGCACTTGGGTCGGACAAGGTAGGAAATGTGTTATTTTCACGTTATTACTGTGTTATCGTGGTTGTAATCGCTTTACTCAGAGGCACAGGTGGCCTGGTTTGAAGCCACCACAGAGGGAAGGTTTCCATAGCAGCTCCCGCTGTAGCCATAGCCACTGTTTACATCAGCTAACACTGCTAGCTAGCTTGACCCCCCCCTCCCCCCTCCCTTACTGCTACTAGTTACTTACTAGCTATCTTAATTGTCTCCTGCCGTGAAGTTTGACAGTTTGCCCTCGTTCCCAACCACCCCCATTATTATATAGGCGAGTATTAAAGGATTACTAAAGATGTCTTCTATGGAAAAAGTTTACTTTTGCTTGCTAGCGTGCTAACTTTAGTCCCAGCCACAGTGTAGCCTCAACGCTAGCTCAGGTAAGCTGATGTTATGTCACAACAAAGTTGCGTTTGCTGTCTGTAGATACTGTCTGCAGCGTTCACTTGCTCTGTGCATTAGAGTGCCTCTAAGAAAAAAAAAATTAACTAAAAGGAGATCAGAAAATCAATACATGAAAGGAGGTGGACGTCAAAGTCCAAGTGGCAGATTGATTTTTAGTAGGTAGTAAATAAACCGTGATTAGCCACAGCTCTCTCTGTCGGTGTGATGTGTGGTAGTTGTTTGTTTTATCAGATTACGTGTTGCTTTTGCTGTTTTCGTTGTAGGTTTTCACAGTGATGAATGTATGTATCATAACTCTTTCGTCCCCCTGTCCATCAGACTGTACAACAGCTCCTAGTCAAGGCAGGGAGGACAATAGACAATGGACAATTTCCTCCTCCATTTGCACTGTTTACTGTGGCTACTGTGTTATAAGTTCATTTTAATGTTTAATGTATGTCTAATGTATGTTTATATGCTGCTACTTGATGCTTGAATTTCCCTCTGGATAAATAAAGTATCTGTCTATCTATTTTGTTTTTTTATTGCAGGAATGTAAATGTCTGAGGACAAGGAAGCCCAGGAGGATGAGCTCCTTGCTTTAGCAAGTATTTATGATGAGGAGGAGTTCCACCGGGCGTCGTCTGCACAGGGGGGAGAGATCCAAGTCTATCTGGAGCTCCCCCCTGGTTTCAAAGTTGTTGTCAAAGGTACACCTGTCAACAAGCTTTGTAAAGAAATAAAGGTGCACGATTTAAGCACAACTCATTACACGAGGTGTATTGTCTTTTTCATAAAGTTATTCTCTCATCCTCTCCTACTCTTATTAAGGCGTTCATTTCCTCTCTGTGTGTTTCAGGAGAGAAGCAAACTGAATATAATGTCTGCTTCTTACCTCCTTTGGTGCTCAACTTTGAGCTTCCTAAAGACTATCCATCCACATCCTCACCGGTCTTCACTCTCAGCTCTAAATGGATGACCAGAGCACAAGTAAGACTCATGCTAGCTCATGAAATTCTTATCTAATTCTGTAACTATACTATACAAAAGCTGACCCGAATATGTGAGCAAGGTTTGCCAAACTATTCAAATTGAGAGTCAATACCTGTTGCTTCTCCTTTTCCTTTATTGCCTCCTCAGATGAGTGCTCTGTGCAGACGTCTGGATGAGCTGTGGGAGGAGAACCATGGCTCTGTGATTCTTTTCACATGGATCCAGCTGCTCAAAGAGGAGGCTCTGGACTTCCTGGGCATCCAGTCTCCTCTGGAAGTCATCAGGGGAGGAAGTAAGGCAGGTAGTGAGCGCAGAAAAACCGACCCTGCAGCCACAGGTACAGTAGGTGTTTTGTTAAAGGAATGTTGTTATTTTGCTTTTGTGGATGCATCTGTGTTAGCTTAGATAGCTTTCTAAAAGTCATACCAGCATGTATAGGAATAAAAAGTAAATAATATTTAATTTAACTTCCTTTCATTTAGAGTCAAACTGAATAGGGGGTCATCAGTCAATTTATATGTTAAGTAAAATCAATCATTTATAAATTTGTTTTCAGCTCTGACGCAGTGTGGAAGTCATTCCGAAGCTGCTGAGGAGAAGAAAAAAGACGTGAAGAAAGAAAAGTCTGAACCGCAGTTGTCTTCGCCTTCTCAACTGGACCCGCGGGCAGTTCTGTCGATGGACCCACGTGCCGACCTCCTACCTCAGCTCCTGGACTTTGACGAGGCGCAGCGGCAGAGGGTGTTTGACAGCAAGGTGTTCTGCTGTGGCATCTGCTTTGTAGAGAAGCTTGGCTCCCACTGCCTCTGCTTTAAGGAGTGCCAGCATGTCTACTGCAAGGCCTGCATGACTGAATACTTCCAGATCCAAATACGGGACGGCAACGTTCAGTGCCTTAATTGCCCTGAGCCCAAATGTACCTCCTTAGCCACACCGTTGCAGGTAAGTGTATGTGCCTGTGTTAGTCTGGAGTTCTAATGTCACTTTACAATTGAATAAGTGCCTTTTCAGAAGAGAGTTTATATAAATTCTCACCATATCAATCCATCTGTCTTCATCTCTCAGGTGAAGCAGCTGGTGGATGAGGAGCTGTTTGCCCGTTATGACCGTTTGCTGCTCCAATCCAGTCTGGACCTCATGGCCGACGTGGTCTACTGTCCCCGTCTGTCCTGCGGCACCGCTGTTATGGTGGAGCCAGACACAACCATGGGCATTTGCTCAGCCTGCCAGTATGCTTTTTGCACACTGTGCAAGCTGGGTTATCATGGTCTCTCCAACTGTAAAATCCCTGCAGGTAATGTCACAGAAAATACAGTAATTTTGTTACTAAGGCAACAAGAGGGGAATAGTTATTTTGTCAGGGTTGTTATATATTGATGTAATTTAACACTGCTGTCAGCTGAAAGAATCTTGCATTCCTTGGGTCAGCTTAATAAGACCTGGAAGTGTTGTTTTTATTTTTTTTTTATCTTTTGCGATGTTGAAACAAAATGAGCTGTGTCAATGAAAGACTTGACTTGAAGCGGTGTAGCAACAGGTTGACTTATTGAGTGTGGGTTTGTGACACAGAAAAGAATTAGGTTGGAAGCCTGGATCTGGCTCTACCAAGTTTACCTAATTGTTTCTTCATTGTTTGCCAGGTTTTTTTTGTTTTAATGGAGGAAAATGCACAATTCTATGTTGCGTTATCTCACAGTGCTAACATCCTGCTTTGGTCTGCTGCATTTATACTATGTGAATGTAAGACATATATCCTGTTTCATCATTTCTTCTTCACTCTATGTCTGCAGCCGTGCAAATGCTAAAGTAAAATTTTTGAGAGAACCTCTTTGAGGGTAAAAGGAGTTAATACTCTCATGAAATCAACTTATTTGCAACATTTCATACAGCATTCAATTGGCACGTGCATATAAATTTAAAATATAATGATATAAATATCACTCTTACTACACTTTAAGTGCAATGCATTACATTTCATAAACTATTGACTAAAACTAAATATACCGTTTTGATGTTCGGTTTTGTAAGCCAAACACACATCCTAAAGTTTTGTCTGGAGTCGAGACATAATAATAATAATATTTTTATTTGCTGTATTCATAAAATATATTTTTGAAGATATTAAAGAGTTCCATTTTCCTAATTCCAACCCTGAGTCCTTAGGTTAAAACCAGCACTGACCCTGTCATCTTTCTTGTACTACAGATGAATTGCGTAACCTCAGAGATGAGTACCTGTCAGCCACAACTGAGGGGAAAAAGTTCATGGAGCAACGCTTTGGGAAGAGAGTGATCCAGAAAGCAGTGGAAGAATCCTTTAGCAGAGACTGGCTCAATGAGAACTGCAAATGCTGTCCACGCTGTGGAACCAATATACAGGTATGGCTCCCCCTGCTGGTCACAGTGCCATAGAACAGGTTTTTTCTGAATCAACAGGGGAATCAACTGTTTTAAATGTAAAACAAACTGTCTTTTCATTTCTAACGTTTTACACAGAATGAGCGAAGCTAGTAAAGAGGATTTGGGACTATGTCCAGTCCCAGGTTATGTCAGTGACTACTGTAAACTGCTGTTTGCTGAGTCCTCTCCCACTAATGCCTTGTCTCTGTGTCTTTCTAGAAAGTGGATGGCTGTAACAAGATGACCTGTACCTCGTGTAAACAATACTTCTGTTGGCTGTGTCTAGGTCTGCTCAGCAAAGTCAACCCGTACAGTCACTTTAATAACCCACATTCACCCTGTTACAACCAGTGAGTGACACTGTTTTCTCTTTTTTTTGTTCGCCATATCAAACACTTGTACAAACATTGGTTAAATGTGTCTTTTCTTGCCTGTTGCAGACTTTTCCACGGTGTGGATCTCGATGAAGAAGATGCCTTCTGGAGTGATGAGGAGGACTGACAGCAGTGGGGTACCTCACTGCTGTATCCCCCCCTTTTTGAATGCACTTTATCTCACATAACCATCACACACTACGCCTGCATTAGCACAACAGTGCCACTTCAACCATGTTCCATCGTTAATGATTTGAATATGATCAGACATCTTTGGTATGAAACATTTAATATATGGAAAGTATTCAGTTTTTTTACTCATGGTCATCAAGGATACATACTTTGATACGTGATTAGTGGCCTCGCAAGTTAACTGAAAAAAAAGCCAAATTTTGGTTGAATTTCTCTTGATTATACGGTAGATTAATGTCTACAGATCTACTGTCGCTCCTTAATTGAACATACACTTCATTGTGACGGGTTTTGTTGTCTCGCAGGCTTATAATGAACGAGAGGTGATACTGGAATCATGGATTCAGTTTGGTAAATTCAAGGTGTTGGCTTTCAATTAGCTAGCGACTATCCCTTTTAAGTGTTTCGTTGGAGGGAAAAGGAGGAGTGTGCATTTGCCCTTCTTTGTTATTATAAATATCCTTATTGTTGTATTAAGTATCTACCCTCTGGCTAGCTTTCTGTCATATGTCAAAAGTATGACACAAACTAACAACCTTCAAGGTGGATAATACAGTTAATTTTGTAATCTAACCAAGACTCTTAGACACACACACACACACACACACACACAGAGGTTTAAAGCAATGAAGGCAAGTGTACTCTCGTACTGTGTTTTGTCAGGGTGTGGTTTTATTTTACCTTTTTACTGAAAATTATGTTTACATTGGCTTTTTCTCAAGATGAGTTAATTTACAAGGAAAATGTCTTTGTCTTTCAGCAAGGCGAGATGAAGAGAGGAATTTCATGATATTGGTTGTGGGGAGTGGTTTCATAATTAGTTTGAGTCACATGTTTGTTCATATAGAATTTAATAATGGTGAACAGTAAATATCCCTCTGATGGGGATACAGGGATGGTGATTTTGGTGTGTGTGTGAGAAAGGAAATCCTCATGTGGTAAACAGCAGAGACATTTAGGGAATGATTTATTCACACCCTTTGTACAACATTTTTTTTTTAATGTTGCCAAACATTAGTGTCGAAGAGAGGCCATAGAAACTTGATGTCTTGTCTAGGGATACAAAAAATGATTTTGTATGATGTTAATTTATTTTATTTTTTTGTTTTTACATTTCATATAAGCAGTTCTGTTTGAAATTGAACCCTGCATCAAATCTGTTCTTTTTCAACATTGAATGATTTGTTCCCCACTGCTTCAGAAGTTCAGACTACTTTCAGAATTGATGCTGATATGGACTGATGAAAAGACAATCTCTGGTTCAGTCATGGATTCACTTTTTTGTTAATGCAGACCCGCTGCCGCGGCATGTCTCATGTCAGAAACATTTGAAACATACTGTTCCTTAAAATAAATGTTACCACTTAACATTTTGTCTATTTTAATCATTGGCTCTGAGACTGACACTTTGGTGCCAGCATAATTCTTCTGCCCTCACTATGCGTGTAGATGCACAGATATCCGTCAAGCTAAACACACATCCAATAAAGGTTGAAGATAACAATTTGAGTTTTTTACTGGAAGCAATTGTGTAAAAGCTGCATTAGACAATAAATTCAATGATGGGTGATTATAAATCAGAAAAAGGTTAAACAATACTTGAGACCAAAGCTGTTGTAAAATAAGTGAGCGTTAGTTACATTGTGCTTTAAAGTCAGGCGGAAATTATCAACATTAAGTCCCCATAGGAAGTACAGCACAGTGAACATACACATAAAGTCCACATTTAAAGAGTAAAACGCACATCTCAACAGTAATTCAGCACTTCGCTACTCAGAATGTTGCATTAGCAATAACAGCTAGCTTAGTTAAGAGTGAGGTGACCATAGAAAATACAAAATTCTACAAAATAACAAATAAATTATAAAATATATAATGAAACAAGTAGGCTACCTACAGACAATGTTCTAACAAGGGCGTGTGAGGAGTGGATAAAAGTATTACCATGACACAGTATGCCTCCTTTGTTACAGTGAAAAACAAATGTCTCGCAAGTTTTTGCTTTTTTTTGCCCGTGGACGTTTACACTTAGCATTGTGTTTCACACACAACAGACACTGCTGACTCACCCAGGTATGAGACTAGGTGGGCAAAATTGAGCTAGAGCACCAAGACTGCATTTCCTCTAAGCCACCGTACAATGTAAATGTTTATTTTCACATAAGTCATACAATAATTTACACAAGTGCAGGAGAAACCAAGAATTTTTATTTTTTTTCCATTCTCCTATTTTATAGTTGTAAAAAGACAACATTCAGGGAAAAAGTACAGTTAGACACCATTAAAAAAGTAAAATGTATGAATATGTAAAACTATTTTAACATTATTTAACAAGAATGCTTCAAACACTTTAAAAGTAATGAAGCAAATCCTGATAAAATAATTTAGATTTTAGTATAGTATATATAAAGCTATATATAGAAAATATATATATATATATATATATATATATATTGTTAAGGTGCTGTTAAGTTTTTCTTAATTTCGACCAAACATTTAGTCTGAAGAGTTAAATGTCAAAATCAGAAATATTAACAAACCAAGTATTTTTCTGTTTGGTTTTGTTTTTTCTGCAGTGTTTTAGCTATAGTGCAAGTACAGTAAACTCTAAGCCTTTATAACATCTTGCTACCTGAAACGTGACCCATAATTACCCTGTAATCCAGAGGTCAGGCTGTGACAGAGAGAGAAACAATGAAATACTAAAGAAACAAAGAGCCCACGTTTTAGCCTGAGATTGAAAAGAGACGACAACATGGTGTAATCCCTTTGGCTAGAGTTGCTGACAGGGGATAACCCTTTAAAATGGCCCCTCTCTCCTATCCTGCCCTCTGTTTCCCCCCCAACCAGCCCCTGCCTGTCTTTCTCCATACACTGCCTGACTGACTGTTACTATGCCCGTAAAGACACCTGCTCTCACAAACACAGGAAACCAACCACCAGCAGCACCTGACCAACACTGAGGAACTTTCACTAACACCTCAGATCACCCAGCGTTTCAACCTCAACCAGGTAAAAAGGTTTGTGGATTTTGATGTGGTGGCTGATGGGATGCGGCCTGAGGCAATGAAGAAGTACCCAGAGCTCAGTGTCGTGGATGTGTGATCTGTTGTCAGCCGTGTTTATGTGGAATGTAGTGTTGAGTCGAATGGATAAGCTCTGCTGGGGAAGCTATTATGTTTTTGCACTGCTGTGGACTATCACAGGCCACCATTAACTTAACATGAAAGCCCTGTGAATCACTGTTTTGTGATTATGTGTATTTTTTAACTTTTATAAGCATGGGCTATGTCAACATTTTTGATGTAACGGCTTTCAATTGATCACATTTTTGTAAAAATTAAGTTCTGAAATGAATATCCCAATATAGTGCCGACAGGTGGTTGTATAAATTAAAGCCATTTTTAACAAGGGATAGTTAAATATGAATGAACATGTGCTTACATGACTTTAAACAATCAAAAAATAAATAAAACCACTTAATTTTCAAAGATTCAAGGCCTTCCTGTCTTCAAAAAAATTCCTACATAATACTAGCCTATAAAAATCAGAATAAATACTAATTACATAATCTATCTTGCCCTCACTTTCCAGGCTTTAAAAACAAAGTTAGCCAGTTGAAACACATCAAAATGCCATCATCTTTACACCAGAACATGAAAAACTGGACAAATTTTCTCCCAAACAGTTGGTTAAATTGCTTAAATCTATAAAGGACTAAATATATGAGTAAACTGCCTTTAACTACAGCCACAGATTGTTTAGCACTGCATCATATTTTAAATATATATATATTAAATGCGCTTTTTATTATTGTCTGTTGCTACAATTACTGCTCCTTTCTGTTAGAGGCATATACTGAGACCAAAAACCATCCACAGCTCATCCACAGCGGGACCAAGAACATAACCGAGCAATCGCATCATGATTGAGAGTGACAGAGAGCTGTCGGCCATGGTGCAGGAGCTATGGGACAACGACGTCAACAGACTCAAGCCTGGGAAAGACTACAGGATCTCTCTGCAGGTGCACCACACACAGAGTCAAACATGAGGCTGCTGTCTTTATTAATCACGATACAACATCTTATGTGCAGTTTACTTCTGTCTCCTACATGTTTGACCTAAACTGATGCCCTAATAGGTATAGCCCTTATCATATACGACTGTAATTTAAGAGCCTAGTCTTGGTTTTGTGTGCCATCTTGATCAATAAAAATCTATAACACTCATTTAAAGACATTAAATGACTGAATGCAAAATGTATATAAGCGTACAAGAAGAGCATTTGTTAAGATTTTTATGGGAAAACAGAAAGCAGTGAGCCTTTCGTACACTATTTGTCAAATTATGGGTGGTTCTCTTCCTGCTGCAGGGCAAAGCTGGAGACAGCATGGCCATCAATGATGACGACAACGATGGAGCAGGATATCCTCTGTTTACGTTTGTCGATGAGAACATTTTCAAAAAGGAGACTTTTTTGGGTAAGTGCATAAAGGTAGAGAGAGTAGTACACAGAGTTGTTCTATTTGAGTCAAAAGTGAGTTATCTTTCTCCAAGATGAAGCAGCCTACAACTGGACTGTCTTGATGCGGCACTACTTACCGCCTCTTACACGACTACACTGTCAGAAAAATGTTTGAATTGACAGTATCTCTTCACACATTTCACTGAGCCGTTTGCCAGTTTGATACTATCCTCTCTGGCAACCCCCTTCAGAGTAAAGCTTTTTCATCCACTCATAATCTCCTTATGACGAACAGTGACATGTTGCATAAGCACAGAGCATGACTTCACTGCACTGGGTGCGGAAAGATGCTCCCCTACAACTACTGGCTTCTCCTTCTAATTTTCCTCCACATGATAACCACTGAAGCGTACTTCGCTGCAGCAATTTTTCTCTTTTCACAGATTTATGTAGCATATAGGAGATGGACAGAGCTGTATAAGGGAATTAGGTTATGTAATAGTTGGTATTCAGAGTTCACCCTGAGGCCGCTGTCCCATTGAAAAAAGGGAGGATTCCTCCCTTCTTTCTATTTTTGTACTTAGTTTGTCTATAGTCTTCCACTCTGAATTGTTCATGCCAAATGTATCAAAGTAGACACACAAATCTCAGTTAAGATACTCTATTTATACTCTAGCTTTGCTTGGTTGTCTTCATAATTGTCATTATATCCGAAATTTCTAGGATTGGACAGCACTTAACCATATTACGTGTTTTTGAAAAAATTACATCATGTATTATCCCAGATTGAGTGTCTGCTTTTGTTTCCGCAGCCTTTATCTCCCTGTTGGATAACTACGAGAGTGACACCGGTGAGCCAGAAATTGTAACCCCAGAAGAGGTGGCAGAGAACCACAAGTTCCTGGACTCCATCATTCACACTTCCACTATGAAGGTACCTTTGGGGACATTTGGAAATAAACACTCCCCCCTTCCTGTGTCTCATAAAGGCCTATTTCTAGTCAAGAATCAATGAGAATTATTTAGAAGTTACATGGTTGTTTAAATGACTCTTTAGATTAGATTATTACTTTTAGTACTCATAACCATATTATATAGACTAGGTCGGGTTCTGAATGTTCTTCATATTGTTCTATAGGTGTAACCCTGAAAACTCTGTTGTTCTGTTCTGTTAGCGACAAACACGGTATGTCATACATATCTGGTTGTGGCATCTGTGCCAAACAAAGGAAACATGGCAACAATTACAGAACACAAATCCGATCCACAATCACTTTTGTCAGAGAGATGCAGCTCACCTGGTCTGGCTGCAAGATTTTTGTTTTTGTTGCGTTTCGTTTGTCTTTATCTAATTTCCTTTTAGTTCTGTAAAATAAACATATTTTTTAGTTACAATTCTTAAGTGTTCTTCCCTCCCTTGTCCAGCCTTAGTGTGACAAACGAGGAATCGCTGATTGGTATCTAATAGTGATCAATTTGGTTTGTGCTAAAATGGGTTTAGGTGTTTTTGAAGTGTAGATTATAGTGTAGAAGTGCCTTTGGTATTCAGCATTGTGGTTAAGATTTTGGGGAGTATCACACAAGGATTTTTTGTTCTCTTGTTAAGACCGGTTACTTTTGTGGAGTGTGAATGTTTGAAGGGAGCGGCATTAGTCCCCAGTTGTTTGGAGGTTTAAGTTAAGTACTGGTGTATGTAATTAGGGAATTTAGCCAGATCTCAGTTAGTAAGAGCCATGCATCCCTTTTAATAGGGAAGACTTGGTTTTGTTTAAAAAATATGGTCCAATGTCCCTCCAAATTTTCTCTATTGTCTTTTCAGTTGCTGATCGGTGAAATAATAAGATTCACTACACTTATACGAATTGCAACCTGGAACATGGCATTATCCTTTTGATACCAGCATTTGAGCTTCCCACCCTGAGTGTCAAAAAAATGGCTGCTGTGTGTATATGGCGACTGTTTAATGAAAGAAACTCTTGTTTATTTGCAGATAGCTCATAAATACCTGGTGGAGAAGAACCTCTCTCCAGCGGATGACACAAAATTCAAGGAGCAGCTGTACAGGATCTGGTTTGAGCTTTATGCAAGGAGAGGATCCAGCAAGTGGGTGAAATCTGGCACAGCACCTAAATATAACATCACTAGTGGAATCTGACACTATAATGGTAACTGTCGTACTTGGAGAAAATGGCTCTATGTAGCACATCCAGTGAGCATCACTGCGTAGGACGATACGGAAAATATTTACTTGTGGTGTTCTGGATGGAAGCAACCACTAAACACATCTTGTACAAATGACACATGACTTAATACAACTTGGTCATTTTCATAGATGCAAAGCTGTTAAGTTTTATAAGGTTGCCTTTAATTGAACTGAGCTTGTGGCATGACCATGAGCTGATGAAATTCCACCTTTTGCAAAGGTTTTTTCAGCATTTAACAAGTTAGAAGGATCCTTCTGACAAAATAACTGACAACATGGCATAACTCTGTGTCCCACCAGGCCAGACTCCTCAGGGTTCGAACACGTGTTTGTTGGAGAGACGAGAGGAAGGCGGACTGTCATCGGCTTTCACAACTGGATCCAGCTCTACCTACAAGAAAAGCTGGGACACATTGACTACAAAGGCTACAGCTACAATCCAAATTCACCCAAGGTGCGATGCTATGTGTTTCTTGCTCTATCTATGATGGACCAAAACGGGGAAAAAATACATTTTATTTTATATTTAAAAATCTATTCAGCTTCCTTTTTGACCTGAGAAATACTTTTTGTTTTACTGTTTTGTCTTTTTTTTAAGGCAAATTTCATACAGTTCAGTGCAGTAGTTCCATAATATAGATCCTCCTTTGTGCCTTTTCACAGCCAACTTCTAAAATGTCCCCCATCACACATTCATACCCACATGTTTGGTAAATCTGTCATCTTTCTCCTGTCATCTCTCATCTCCTCTATTTCCCCTCAACTTGACTTGCACTCTTTCTGGTCTTGCTCTTGTCATCATTCTTGCACACTGATAAGAAACTCACATCCTGCTAAGACCAACTTTGCTCCCACCCTTTTGCAAAACACTGGGAACATGTTCTGGGATCTTAGCCTGTTGGTTATGCTTATGTTGAGGTATAGACATTATCCGAGACTAACGTCTAATAAATTAATGAAAAGTTATATGATCTGTGCCCAAATCCTTAGCATTAAATCTCTCTCTCACTGAGTGTAGCTTATGTAGCCAAGTTTATCTTGAGAACTAAGCAGAAATGAGGGTCCTGTAGTTTGAAACAATGGGTAATTTCCATATCCTACTTTGCATAATTTTCACTTATCCCTTATGCAGTTCCCAAGTATCATGCAACGTACTACATGCCAAAGTATTTGCATGGCACACTGAACCCGAGGTACACTATTATGTTCGATATTATGATGAGCTTATGGCTTACCAATAGGGCAATCTTCCAAAAAGCTTGTGTATCGCTTCAAGTTTTATCATGCTGACACCCATCCCTCACCATCCTCTTGTCCTCTCTTTCATCACTTGCCATTTCTTTTTTTTTCTCTTACTGCAGCCTGATGAGAACAAACACATCCTGGCGCTACAGTTCAGCTGGAAGATGGGCATAAAGCCCAAAGGCAGCATCTTCATCGGCGTCAGTCCCGAGTTTGAGTTTGCGCTCTACACTCTCTGTTTCCTCAGCTCGCCCAACGAGCGTGTCAAAGTCCAGTTCAGTTTCTATGACGTGGAGATTGTTTGCCACCACTACAACCAAAAGCACATAGGCACCACGTACCCTGTGCTCCTTAAGTACCAGAACCCTCACTAACTTGACAAGATATCAATTTGAGATGTAACTTCTCCCATTTCTGAGCTTGAATACAAAGTGTCACAGGTATTGTTGTTGTCTTTTTATTTTAGATAAAGATACAATAAAACCTTACAAGACCCAGTTGCATTTGTTGTTACTGCAAAATGATGCCTATTCTGAGAGAATATGTGAAGTGATACAGGATATATAAGTCATGCACTAATTACTGATTATTGTATTACTCTTTTTGTATTACTCTTAGAAATAATTGTGACCACATAAATCTGAAGATGGGTATTGATCTCAGTCAGTTTCTAATATTATATGTATTAGGGGAGTAAACAAGTTGAAATGTAAAGATTTTTTTTCAGTAGCTTCAAATAATTTTGCCAGGACAACAGATCATCAATATCTCACATTTATAAAATCCAAAAATCATGTTCACTGTCCCCTTTTTTTTCCAAACTCAGAACATAGACAGCAACCCAACAAACAAAAGGGAGTGTAACACACCCAAGTCCACAAACACAGACTGTCACAAATGTCCCCTTACATCCACAATCCATGAAACCATACACAAAAGAAAACCACCACCAAATAGATAAAATAAATACAAGTAAATACAGTTACCAAATCATTATATTAGGTGCCAGTAAAGATAATCTTCTCTGTAACCTATTCAAAAGTAGCCATGTGGACATCACCTAAATCCATTCATAAAAACAGCATGGGTTAGGTGATTTCCAGTGTCTCAAAATGATTGTACACCCTGTAGTTGTAGCCAGACTGACCAGTAACCTCTTTTGTTCATTCACAATAAAACTGTCCAGTAACAGCCCCAGAAACTGTATTTTTAACAAATTATTCAGAAGTGTAACAACATCTTTCCATAGGTGCTCTTTTATTTTCCACAAAAAGATTATGTTCAAATTGAACACCTTTCCTGTGTTAAGTTACAGGTAAGTTGTAATTTTCCTTTTACTTTGACGTACTGTAATGTATAACTTTTACTAAGTATTTTAATTTTCCTAGCTCTGTCAGTAACGTTACTAGTCGTGGTTGTTTCACCTTTGTTTCAAATGGGGGCGGTAGAGAGTTTGTTGTGGCCAATGACGTCAATCATTTGGCGAGCAAGACCTGCGTCAAGTTAGTGAGAATCATGAGTGAGAAGACAGCTTCCGGTTCTTGTTTCACAATAAAATAACCGGAAATGTATATATATTTTTTTAGAACAAAAGTGATAATGGCTCTGCGTGGGGAAGAAATGACTGAATAACCGATTGTTAATGATGGAAGCTACAATTATCTCACTCAAAATAACTAAATTAATTTGCAACGCCGCTGTCCATGGCCTTTATTTCCAAACCCTAACAGGAAGCCTCGTCTTTCAACGTGACCAATTCTGTAGCTTGACGGCAGTTTCGTGTGCGTGAAACGTCGAGCAGTCGAGGGACAAACAGGATTTGATTGTGGCGAGGACTGACTTTTACCGTTGTTACTGTTATATAATTTCGTTTTCGCTGGGTGTCTCGGCGGCGTGTTCCCTCTTCTGTTGAGTTACCAGCCGTTCACATCGGAATGGCCGAACCGAGCGCCCGGTATCATCAGGTAACGACGACAACAATTAAAGATTTAAGCACAACCCGTTAACGTTGTTACCGTTGACTTACAGGACGCTCACACTCACCCAGGTGTGTCGGTGTCATCTCTTCAACAAAGCTGAATGTCATTATCGTCAGATATGTCGGTATTATTGAGATTAACCTCATTATTTTGCATCTTTTGAAGCTACCTTTTTTTTTTTTTTTTTAAAACCGCACTGTAAACGAAAATGCTAACGGTTCCTCGTTAGCATTTTTAGTTCAAGCTAACATGAACGTGAAATCGATTATGTGTCGATTGGGCGTTTTGTCTCTCATCGTGGGTGTCTTGCGTTGAGTTATAAGCTCACTGTATGCTGGCTCGTTGGCCTTGTTGAATACTAACTTAAACGTGTAACTTAATTTTAGCTGACGCTTCTCGACGGTCCTCTATGGATGCTAATGTTTGGACAGCACATGACACAGTAGTGGGTGTGTTCGCTGGTCATCAATCAATCAATCAATCTAACTTATCTATCAAGTTTAGCTGACCTGCTTTGTTGGGTTTTGGTAGGGCAGACAGTACTTATTATGATTATTATTATTATTGATTATTTCCTGAAGATAATTAGTTTATTAGTTATTTCTTAAAGAGGAACACTGCGCGAGTGACACAGGATTTGTTTGGTGTTTTTAGTTTTTATGCAGTTGTTAAATTAGTAAACATTAATTCCTGATTATTAATTTATTATTTAAAGGGGTGGTGTCACGAATCCTTCATGTTTGTTGAATCATGCCAGTGGATAAATGTCTCAGGTCACCTGACTTAAGTTAAGTAATTGATTAAGTACTGGTTAGCACTGTCCCCATTTAACCTCTAATCAATGCAATCCTACAAACTGATGGTGGTTCCTTTTTATAGGAAACTATAGGACCTGTAAAATGACTTGTCAACCACACCAAAGAGGAAACAAAGGGGGATTTTAACCTCTAATTTATACCTCTATAAAGCCATTGTTTGAAACTGACACTCGTATTAATTGATCAAAATGAGTTTGGTTTTAAAATCTTGTTTAGCTGAATCACAAGTCTGGCTTCTGTGTCTTAAGTGACAGACAAAACTGTGTCTGGGTGTTTTTAACCAATTGCCCTGCTCACGTGTTTATTACATTTAATGAGAGAAAGAGAAAATAAGTTGTGGTGGCTGCTACGTTCCTCTTTACACTCTTTTATTTTGTGCCCTGGAAAATGTTATTGATGCTGAGTTTGTGAGCTCTTTTAAGGAGGACTGGGTGTTGGGATAAGCGTTGAACAAGATGCAGGAGCAGTGAAGCTCTTTTATCTAAAGGCACCTGTTTCAAATAGAGAGCCGGTGCAGCGCCACCTGTACATTGTAGCCTTGAGTAAACCAGGAAGTGGTTTTTCCCTCCCCTTCCACAGCTGCCCAATGAGGAGGACCCAGAAGAGAGTCCACAGGTAGCAGCTGACGCTCCACCTCCATACAGCAGCATCTCAGTGGACAATGCTGGTAAGACCATGACCCAATCAGATGTTTCTCTGGTACTGAGGTCATTTGTAATGGTGCAATATTGGAAATCATATTTTTCATGGTCTGCACATTATGTGGTATTAATATTGATAGCTGTATAACCGCACTATACACTTCCAAAAAGATAAATGACCACCGCTTATGAGCAGCTTCACACTAGAAGCACATTCATGACACATTTTCAAGAAAAGGACTGACTGTACGAGGATGAAAAGACATCAATCCTGGTGTTAACATCACCAGGGTTTGATGTCTTTCCATCCTCGTACAGTCATAGAATTTATATAGTCATATAGTTTATAGCTCCAAAAACACTTTGAAGTGTACAGTACCTCTTTAACCACCTAAACTGTCTTTGGCAGAGTACACAAACACACAACAGCCAAGTCAAATTTGGGTGTGCCATCCAGTTACTCACACAATTATCATTCATTAGTGAATGATAATTGATGGGAAATGATGGGTCCTGCTGCCAGCAATTTTTTTTTTTGTCATTTTAACCGGCGAAAGTGACGGTCTGTGCCAGCTAAAAATGAGAGGCTGCTAGCTGAATGTTTTTGTATACTGCTCTTTGCTAATAAGTGCGCAGAGATAACAAATCTGCTTCCATCGGTGGCCTCATAATTGTTTTTATTATTCTAATCCCTTACCAGAGGATAAACACGACTGACCAAACGCAGGATTCACTCTTTCAAGAAGAGCAGATTGCTTCTGACAAGGAAACTTTAGTTCAGAGATTACCTCTAGGTCGTGTGCCGGTTTCCACTTCTGGAGCTGCGTCAGTGACTAAGCACAAGAACACATGTTAAATGGTGGCTTTAGTTTTGGCAGTGACAGGAAATATGTTATACAGCTACGAGCCAGCTGTCTGCCAATACAAAATAAGACTTTTTACCAGTAAAACTTCTGCCTTTTGTGTTTGTTGTTGTGCCGTTTTCTTTTTCAGCCTACTTTGACTTCAAAGAAGACGGGGCTTTCCCCAAGCCTCCATCATACAACGTAGCAACTACGTTACCTTCCTATGATGAAGCAGAAAGAACCAAGGCCGAGACTACTGTTCCCCTGGTAACTGGAAGAGTGAGTGTCTCTTTTTTTTTTTTTTCTCCTTTCTTGCCTGCGGTCACATTCAGTATATGCAGACACTGTAGCTTGTGCTCAAACACTTCCTGTGTTGTCTGCAAGGCAGGAAGTGCTTAGTGCACCATTACGAAACGTTTTTTCTTTCGTTTTTTCTTTTGTTTTGTGTTCAGAATCACATATCTGTCTTTGTCTTTCTGACATGAACAGCCTTTGTTGTTGGTTGGAAAAATAGCAGATTCAATAAGAAAAACATATATACCACTCATATTAAAGGGCGTTCAGTAATAATGTGCCACATAATTCACACAGTCTATGTTTCACAAGAAGCTTCTTTCTGTTGTGAATGCTTCAATCTCCCAGGCCCCCTTGAACTACCCTCTGATTATGTTTTATGGCTAGCTGTTTTTACTGCTAGCTCACACAGTCCCACCACCTCACGTCAGTAATGTGTCCTTGCCGATGGAGGTATGGATTGTCAGTGTACATTTTAAAAATGTTGGGTAGACACATTCAAAGTTTCCAAAGCTTTAATGGCACGACTGCTTAGGAAAACATCTCTGCTCTTTACACAAAACATTTGGTTGTGGGAACCCTTTCCTCTCCAGTTATTATGTAGCTGTAATTGTATTTACAAAGAGCAAAACACACCTCATCTTATACAGCATGCCATTAACTTGTATTTAATGCCTGAGGGATTGTTAAAAAAAAAAAGGACACCAGCAATCTAACCTCCCTTGTGCAGGCTTGTCATGAGCGCCATCTCTGAGTCTCTCTGTCAGCGGCAGAAATTAATCAGAAATTAATTCATACCTGACATGTCTTGAAATGAAAGAAAAATGCCTATCAACTGAAAAATGATAGCACCTCTCTGACCTCTAGTGGTCATTGTAATGCTTTACTGCATGTGGGGGCCACCCTGTTTGATTGTTGGTGTTGTGTTTCCCTGCCACGCACTGCCTTGCGCACAGCAGCAGCCTCAGCACAGGGAACGCCTGGAGACTTTTGACGATGTAATTCGCAGTTCACTGGAGGTAACTGGGAGGAGTGGGAGGAGAGTGTATGATGAGAGGAAGTGTATTTGGTCCTGGTTTGTCGTGTGAAAACACAGATGTACCTTCGGTGTATGTATTCAGTACCCCACCCTTCTTGTATGTTTGTGTATTTAGAATGCTAGCTAGTGCTTAGTTGATATTATACTAGATGTACTGGTTCTCCCGATATCCTACATTGAATCTGACTGTCTCCGGATCTTTAGGTAAAGTGACAATAATAGTAGTTAAATGGGCTTGCTGTGTTGTGATGATTCCATAGGTCCGTTGGTTGTTTGTGTTGTATATACTCTCTGTTGTCAGCAAAGCTTGGTTTCCCTTTAGCAGGTGCTTGCCAGCGCTTTATGACAATTCACTTTGATCTCAGTCATTACATTGTATATGTAGAATTTCGAACACACACTACTGTGAATTGGTTGAAATTAAACTTTATCAAATTGATTGATCTATAGACTAAAGTTTTAAAGTAAAGCCCTGGAAAGCTCTGCTACTGCCTTGTTGTTGCCGTGGTTACATTTTTTGAGTGCTTAAATAGCTTACTTTTGTCTCTTTTTGTCACTTACTCTATGACAGGATGAAGACTTTGTGACCAGAGACGACTTCGAAGATGCTGATCAGCTGAGGATAGGAAATGACGGCATCTTTATGCTCACTTTTTTCAGTTAGTTATCCAAACTACTTGTCTGTTTTATTCTTTTCTCATCGTATCCATGTTGTTTCATCTTCAGCTCTTCTCTTCCTAGATTTGTACAGAAATTACATCCTCTATTATGTAAGATACCAATGAGTGAAATTAGGACTTGTCTAACACGGTCTTCTCCCTCCGTCCTTTGTCCAGTGGCATTCCTGTTCAACTGGATCGGTTTCTTCCTGTCCTTCTGTCTGACCACCTCAGCAGCTGGCCGCTATGGGGCAATCTCAGGTTTTGGCCTCTCCCTCATCAAATGGATCCTCATAGTCAGGGTATGATAAGCAGCCCACACACACAAACACAGACATTACAGAGTACACACGAAAAACACATAAAATGTGGTTTTATGTACGCACAAACATCTCAAAAGCCCCAAACACCACCCTGGTATTTTAATGTTGTTTCTGTAGTGGTTGTCTTGTTGGCGCTGTGCTATTTCCTCTAAGATCTCTTTAAAACTGCCCTTCCTTTCTTCATTCACGTTGAAAACGCAGGACTCATTTTAGTGAAACCAGTACAGGCCATATTTATTGTAACCAGTCATTTCTGTCGTTCTGTTGGGTTTCTAGTTCTCCACATACTTCCCCGGTTACTTTGATGGACAGTACTGGCTGTGGTGGGTGTTCCTGGTGCTGGGTAAGTAGCCAACCTCTGAATTTAAATCAATCAAATAGGGAATCAAATGGTTTTGCCTGGCTTGTGACACATTTCTGCTCTCTGGAGCTCATTGCAACAGTGTTTAGGTGTCATATGCTGTAAATATACAAAATAGTTAACCTTAATTATCCTGTTATAGGATGATAAGGTTATTGTTTGAATTCATTATTTCAATGAAATGAAGATCCTGCTTCTCCAACCATTGACTGCAGCACATAGAGGTGCAAAGTAGGAAGAATACAAGTTTTCCCTACAGTAAATTCCCATTTTTATAATGTTTTGAATTAAAGTGGAAGCATCTGCATAAGCTCCTGCTGCATGCAGCTGTTTTCAGCAAAAACATCAGACATCTTCTTGTATCTTTTTAAAAACATGTTTACTAGTTATTACTTTCTCCCTTGGCATCATCATTCCCATATTGCCAAATGAGTTAAAGTAAGTTAACATATCATTTCATACCAAACAGATGCAACTATAAAGATTGTGTTTGTTAGGACGTTAATTTTTTTGCTACCTTGCTAGCAAGCACAGTTTTGGTTTATGTTGGTTAACCTAAAGTAAACCTACTTTATCATCCTGGTTGTGGTGATTGGCCACACCTGCCCCCATAGAGCACACCAGCAGTAAATGTGCATGTGTATAAATATGCGTGTGGAGTTGACCTGACGAATATCCTTCTAGCATCAAAATGTCGTCATTAATAAAAGATTTTGAGTGTGCAGGCTTTACTGATTTTTCATGATGACCTAAAGACCCATTCAGAGCACCTCGCTACATTAAGCTGCCAAGTCCTAAGGTTGTTCCCTAGCAGTTCTAGTTGTGTCTCACTGTCCCGTTTTTTTTTTTTTGCTCCTCAGGCTTCTTGCTCTTCCTTCGAGGATTCATCAACTATGCCAGAATCCGCAAGATGGCCGACACCTTGTCCACCCTGCCCCGCACCCGAGTCCTCTTCATCTATTAAGCTCAAAATCCATCAGTTACCATCATCACTTTTTCCTCCTTTTTAATGAGATATGCAGTCTGGCTTCATCCAATCAAAAAGGGAGGAAGAACTTTTTCTTTTTTTTTTTTCCTCTGCTCCACATGATTTGGACAATATGATGATTATTGTCCCCTCTTGGTCTAAACTAGTGAATGCTGAGAAATCTGTAAAACCCTTCAGTTGTTAGTGGTGAACTGTCATATGCTATTTGCAATTATGAAGTGTGTGATGTATAAATTAATGCCTTATTTACTGTTTTACTATCTGTTGGTAGCAGCAGCAGCAGCAGCATACACTGTTCCCCCATGTAGACACCAGGGGGCAGTCTTGTTTGTGTTATTCCTTTCACCAGTCTCTGATCTGATCATTTGTATAGCGAGGTGCTTCTCAGCCCAGGGGTCAGTGGGTAATTTTGGGATTGTGGGTTGATTTCAAGTACCAATTTAATGTGTATTTAACCCTTCTGACCAAGCATTATGTCCCTTGTGAAATAAGTATAAAAATCAGGTAATACAAGCCTGAAAAGGGAAAATTACTAGCTTTTTTTGGGGTTTGAGTTTCTGAGAAGGTTGAGGACCATATGAATAGAAGATCAGGGGCCTGGCTTCCCCTAAAGCATCCCCCCCATGCATTCATGAATTGTCTATGCTTACACACTGTAATCAGTAATACTTTTACTAATATATGATACATGTATGTCAGTAGAGAGCTAAAGCTGCAATGTGATTTCCAGGGGAGGCCAGAGCAGAGCTTCTTGGGCAGGTCGGGAATCACTGCTTTGCTCAAGAGCACAATGACAGATGGAATAAGTCTGTCTCTGGATTCAGATGTGCAATTGGACGGTTGTGGTTAAATTAATGATTCTGATGCTCTCTCAGTCATTGGCATCCCATTGGTTTTCCAAAGAGGAAGAAATTATTGTATTGCCAGATGTGATTTGGAAACCCTGCCCTGTGAAGAATTAATGAAGTAATATATTGATACAGCAGATCCCCCCCCTTTTTTTTTTACGTAACAATGAAATATTAAAAGCGTCATTCTTTTTATGTTTAACCTCAGTCTAGTGGAAGTGGAATGATTATTTTAAGTATCTGGCTTGGAAAATGTTTGGAATTAAAGTGGAAAAAGTACATTTTGGTGTTGAGCTATTTATCAAATAGCGGTAAGCCTTCCAGTCAAAATATCACATGACGTAAATGCCATTTTAGTTTTGCTAGTTATTCCGGTTGCAGGATACCACTTGCTCTCCGCTGGCGCACCACAACAACTCAAAAGTTAAAGCGCTCTATCATATCGAATGTCATCACTGCCGGTCATTGGGACTTGGAGACTAGGATGTGTTCTTTTCTCCAAAATGCCTAAATTGGAGAGATGTATCAACAAATAGAAAGAAATTATAGTCTGTCAGTTGATTATGAGCTTTGATCAAGTTTACTTTGAACTCGACCTCACCCTCATGACCTTACTGGTACTAAATAAAATCTACCATGTTTAGTATTTTAGAGTGTGGCTTCGGAAAGGTGGAGATCCAGCAGCCTTCAGCCACAGCGAAGAGGAAACCTAGCTGACCATGATGTTCAGTTACTGACATGAGACATGCTCTTAGCCATACTAAATTTAACACACATGAGACACGTGTGCGTGCGAGAACTGAGTTGATTTACTCGTGGTGGCTAATTATACATGTCAGCTGTGTTTTTCCTTGCCGTTGGAACAGGAAGTGAAGGTCACTCCACCTGGAAGACATGTCACACCTACTGAAACGGTCTTTGGTTTCACTGGAAACTTTTACTGTCACATCACTATGGCTGGATATTGGCCTCTAGTGGTCCTCAGTTGATATGGCATTTACTCCATTTAGGTCATCCTTCATAGGGCACTTGGGGAAATGTCACTCTCAATTCACTAAAATGATTATTTTTTCAGCATTAAACAACTCCCAGGAGGAGAACATAGAAGTCGAGCAAAGCAGATTTTCATGCTTGCATAAATCCAGTCTATGGTGTGCTGTATGCAAGGAAAATGCATTGTAGACTCATGCGACGTGGGTCAAACGTTTTAGGGGAGTAGAAGAGTTGTGAGATTTGAAACTGAATTTGACACAAGCTTACTGAAAAGTATACATATATATATTTTGAACAAATGTTTCTCTTCTTTATGAACTATAGATTTTCTCCTTTGCTTACCTCTAAGTTGCTGCACCACTGGTACTTTTTAAAAGTCAGATATCCTGAAGTCATCTCTTTTGCGTTGTGCACTTGGGAAAAACAGAAACAGCTGTGGTTCAGACATTACAGATGCTAAGTAGCTCTGTGTTAAACATTTTAACTTTAAACTGTCTCAGTGTGAGAAAATTCATTACTTGAGTATTTTAAGAAATGTTTTCCAACATTATGTCTTAGATTTTCCGAGCACAAATGGCCTCTAATGGCGGAAGGATAGAAAAAGACAAATAGGGCAAAGGTCATATGCCAGACCCTCAACACCGGTCCACTGAACCACCACGTCACTTGGATAAACAATCTTCATTTTGCCAGGTGCAGACGGGTTTAACTGCTGACAGTGTTTCAGCTGTAAATTCTGGCAAAGCACACAAACAACAAAATTCCTTATCATCCACATCTTACACAAATTCATCCTCAGTCCCGAATCCCTCTCTAACGTCATTCCCGCTCTGCTCCAGCAGGGTCACCCAGTGCAGGTGTTTTTGTTATCCAGATGTCATTCATAAAATAACTCCATTGTGCCAAGAGCTGTCTGTGTCTTGTCAGCTGCCCTCGATTTACAGAGACGGAAGTATTTCTTGGAGTAATTGATGGGAATTATGTGTGCTAGCCAAGTGCCTGCACTGCTTGCATGTTTTAGCTATCAAAAGATAAGAGGAGGCTTTTTGATTTACGGAGAGGTTGGGAGTGAGCCATCTTTCCAAAAAAGATGTGCTTTACTTTTCTGGCTCCTGTTGGACAGACTTTTTGTGCAAAGACGGATGTGAATTTACAGTAATTTATAAAAGAATATAATATGTTTAGTACAAAAAGTCCTTGCAGCAGGAAATAAAGATGCAGTTTTTCATGTCTGATAGTTTTATTATGTGCGATTTACCTGACTTGACTGCAGATTTTAATAAGCACGGTGCTGGTTTGTTTCTGCTGGACAAAGCTAGTTGTTTCCTGTCTTTATGCTAAGGTAAAGCTAATCATCTGCTGGCTTCAGCTACATAGCTTACCACGCACACTTGAGAGTAGTATCGAGAGGAGTATCGGCAAGTCAACGAACAAGTATATTTTCCAGAACATCAAACTATTCCTGTAATAAGAGTGGTGGTGAACAGCAGCCGAGGTTTACATTGTTTACACAAAATCTGCATCTAAAGTGAGTCAGTGCAGAACTGTGTTGTACGATCACCACTAAAGTTGCTCAATGGGATAATATTGGCCATATTGAGCAGCTGCCAGATGGGAAACTTGAAGGTAAAAAGGCACATGCGACCCTCATGGGACACATGGAACACCAATTTGCATTTCAAAATCAATAAATAACACAAACAATTGTGTAACGGTTATAAGCATGGCAGATTGGCAGCTTATGTGACCCTGCATCAGATGTGTGCACCTGCTGGGATTGCGTTATCACACAGATCAGCTAGATTGACTGATTGATTTTATTATCACAAAAGGGAAATTGATTTGCAGCGTGGGCACAAAAACAGGACATACGAAGTAAAAAAAACAAAGACATAGCCCTCATTAGCAAAAGTGCAGAAGAAACAACAGAGCAATAAACAGCAGTAAACAATACTATACAGCACCAGTGTGTAGCGCTAATAAGAGTTCCAGAGGGCACTGGTCAGGACAAATGGAGCTAAAGCTTTCAGAGTTTTCTCAGAAAGGCAGATTGGTGAAACGAGTGAGAGGCTGGTGGAAAAATCACTTGTAATATGTTTATCCTCCTCGGTAAGACAGAGATAGATATAACCTTTGGCTTTAAAAAGATCCATTCTGCTCACAGGAAGGGGTTTTCTGGGAAATGTGGTCTTACTTCTGAGATACACTAAAAAATAAATAAATAAAACACAACTCGTGTGATTTAGAGGCTGACGACTAATTACAGCAATCAAAATTGATTTTAACCTAAATACATTGATATTAACAGATGAGCACCTATGAGACTAGAAACCTTGAGGCCGGTGCAGACATACCACTGCCAGCTTCTCACTTTTTGACTTTATCGTTATTTATTTAAAGTCAGAACATCCTGCCAGAGAATTCCCATCACCTTAAACAAACTGCAGTCAGACGGAGCCTCCTGCTGTCAGTATGCGTTTCAGATGGGAGGTTCCCCAGGATGTGGGGAGGATGTGGGTTGCATCCAAATGATATGTCCTTCTTCTGTGTGTGTGTGTGTGTGTGTGTGTGTGTGTGTGTGTGTGTGTGTGTGTGTGTGTGTATGCGCGCATGTGTGTGTGTGAGTGATTGGGGCAGGGGGAAGGGTGTTATCATTGATGTGTGAGTCATCCTGACCCTCCCCTCCTCTCCCAGCACTTCATGTGGCGTGTGTGTGCGCGTATAATTGCGTGTGCATCTGTGTGCACGGAATGTGCGTAAGTCTACATGTTTCTAATGTCACGAAACAGGCTGTGCGTGCTTCGCATGATGTGTTTTTACATGTATGTGTGTCACGGTGCGTGACGTGAGCATCCCTGTGTATTGTATGTGCGTGTGTGTGTGAGGTTGGTAAAATAGTGGTGAGTCATCCACAGGCCAGCATTGCCTGTTACCATGGGTCACACACAGCAGGTACCCCACCTCCCTATGTGAACCTTTTTTTTAACCCACTTCTCTTACTTATCCTCTTCTTCCTCCTCCTCCATCTCCTCCTCTTCTTTTTCCTCTCTGACTCACAGATGACTCCCCCACCACCACCAATGACATCACCATCCCCTCCCTAACACTTTGTTGTGGTGAATCATACTGTACGTTGAGATTTTCTCTGCTCTTGTCTTCAGCCAACCAGCAGGGCAAACCTGAATGTCACCCATTCATTCATAAAATCAGACTCAAGTCGCTGAAGCATTTATCCCTGACAACTGTGACCGGTAGGTAGGTAGGCTTTGTCAGTGATGTCATCAGTTATAACATATATACAGTGATGTAATCGAAGGAATTAGGAAACACTCAGACATGTATTCTGGTTATGTTCAGAGAAACATACTATACGGAAACACAGTATTTCTCACAATTGAAATTCCACTGTTCTCATTTAGACAGCCTTTTTTCCACATATTCCCATTGGTGGATCCATTTATTAGCAGGACTGTTCAGTTTCAGAGGAATCTTGCATTTTCATACTCACTCATGGTCACACTCACACTTTATATAAAATATGTATGTATTAAAAGTACCCGACTCCCCCTGTCCATGTGTCGAAGTGTCCTTGAGCAAGAAACTGAACTCCAAGTCGCTCCCGATGCACCCACGGCTGCTGGGAGGTTCCCCAGGATGTGAGTTGCACATAGAGTTACGGGAAGTCTACAGAAGCAGAATATAAGGTGGGAGCTGCAGAAAGGTTAGACAGCTCCAAAGATGGTGGGCGGTTTAAAGGTACCTGGTGGAGTGTTTGACCACTAGTAATGCTATTGAGCAATACAAATGTAAAACCAGCATAGCAATGCACCAAGAAAGGAGAAAGAAAGAGGAACTGAGCTAGCCAGCATTTGACATGTTTGTTAGACCTACAGATACTTCTTGCATTTTACATCATTACTAAGGCACCAATTTCAACTGAGCCAATGAGATATTTGTGTGTTGGATTTATACGTGTAAGAAAAAAGTGAAAGAATGTGAACGTCATCTTCCTGTGCAAAAGCAAGACAAAACTGGCCACAAAAAAATGTTTGTATGGATGAGATCGATGCAGCTGTAGTGGTTGTTGTGGGCAGAAATACAAATTCTGAAATCTGTATATTTTTTCGATTTACTTGAAAATGTTGCACAAAGGGAGATAATTGACTCTTCAATCACAAAAATCAGTATCTATCCTGGATAACCCACTTGCACTCAATGCACAGTAGTCTGCGTGAGAATAAAATGTACAGTATATCAAAGACCAATAAAATAGAATGTGCATTGTATG